GGGTAAATTTAAGTTAATTTTGAATATTTTTAGTATGTAATTTCACTTTATCCAATCAAAATATTAATAATAGGCACTTAAATAATTGTTAACAAATCGTTACCTTGTAACAATTTCACTGTCACCATCATTGTGATCATCTTCATCATCATGAGTATCACCATCATTATCATCATCACTAACAGTATCATCATGATTATGGTCACGATCACCATGTGCCACCATCATCAAGATTATCATCATCAACATTATTATCCTTATCATCATCATCATTAATTGTCATCATCATCATCATCATCATTAACAGTATCATCATGGTTATGGTCATGATCACCATGTGCTACCATCATCAAGATTATCATCATCAACATTATTATCCTTATCATCATCATCATCATTAATTGTCATCATCATCATTAATATCATCATCAATATTGTCATCATCAACATCATCAACTTTGTCATCATCCAAAAACAGCATATCCATGTACCTTTTTTGTGTACCTAATTACCAAAGATTAGTTACTAATATTTATTGTATTGCCATACATGTTTTAGTCAATCTGCACATCTACATTAAATTTGATATTCTGGATCAATCATTCTGTACTTTATTCAAAATAAATCTACAATAATGCTTATCTCAATCTTGATTATATTTGTCAGATGAGTATTTTACTAAAAGAAAATTTGTGTTGGGATTGATAGTGAACTTTTTTTTTTTTTTTTAGCTAAGTATCATTATAAATTGAGAAAGATCTTGAAGGAGGACTTTGTCAGAAACCTTCTTCAAAAATTAATGCTGCTGTGCCAACATAAAAGATAATGTAGTAGGCAGGCAGCAAGTGAAGCATTGCTTGTCTACATGCTTCTAGGTTTATGTTAAATATCACAGTCAATGACAAAAACCATTGTCATGTAAATGCTAGCATGGAAATTCAAATCGGAGGGTAATTTTCAGTCCTGTTTTGTCCAAGTTCTAAGGATTCAGTGAGAATCCTGGATCTGCCAGCAAACCTGAGAGCTTTCCTTACTCGGATTGTGGTGATCCCCAAATCTGAATAATATATTTGTGCAAACCTTTAATTTTTGTGGATGACAATCTCTGACCTTTGATATTAAATCAAGGGCTGAGTCACATCAACAAAAACATTTAGCATTTAATCAATTGCAATAAATACTAATATAAAATAATTAGAGTTTATTTATGTTAGCATAGCTGCGAACTCTATATTTAACAGAGGTTTTCGTTGACAAGTTTGTCGTTTTAATAAGCGCCATTTTCTAGCAAATCAATATAAGCTATATATGATAGAGTATACCATTTGCCGCATAAAATTTTACATGTAAAAGGTAACAGGATTGACGTAGAAAAAAAATCTATATGTACATTTTATACTCATTATGCATCAATGTGTGTAATATTATACATACTGTTTTTTAATATTCATATCTTATCATTACGTACACTGTATGCTCCTTTTTAACCATGCTATGATTTAGCTCTGTGAGACCTTTTGTATTAGAGCACTTTATAAATGTTTTAATTATTATTGTGTACCAGTATGTAAAATAAGTACTCTTTTATGTTTAATTTTTATTTCTGGAAAAATTTAACTAGTAAAATTTTTATGAATTGTTATTTACTTTTTGTCTGCATCATTGTACCAATTATTTGATATTGTGATTGTTGTTATGGAATACGTAAAATGCATATTAGTTTACTATTTGCGTATTCTGTTGGCATGGTGACATGTTCATAATATTTGTAACACATACATGTCATTGATTTATGTAGACCTTTTTACATTATTTGATTTTTTTTTTATGTGCATGTTTTTTTCTTTCAGTTAATGCAGGCCGCTGCTGAAAAACGGAAACAACTGGAGAAGGAGCACGAGGAGGCGATACTAAGTTTACAATTCAAGCAAGATGAAATAAGAAATCTACAAAAAGTAAGACTGTGGTATTGATGTTAATGGTAATGTTGATTGATGGTGGTGGTGGTGTTGGTGGTAGTTGTTGAAATGGTGTTGGTAATATTGGTGGTGGTAGTAGTAATGCTGATGATTAAAATGAACACAGTATTTACAATTTTGAAATTATATTTTAAAAACTGTCATGGTGATAAAAAATATGTGTGTGAATGGTGATGATGATGATTGTTATAGTGATGACAATGATGATGATGATTATTATGGTGATGACAATGATGATGATGTTTTATTATCATAAGCAAAGCATTAGTTATTGTTCATAAGGATAGTTTAATATAAATTTTTATATTTGTATGGTGGTGTAATGATGATGATGGTTATGAAGATGATGACAGTTACGACAATGATGATGATGGTGACAATGACAATATTATGATGACATTGATGATATATCATTATGATAATGATTCGGACCCCCACTGTCAAACATGTCGGACCCTTCTGGAGCACCACTGAGTAGTGATAATGTTTATTAATATTATGATATGACAATGATGATAATACTTGACAATGATACAGAAAATAAGACGTGTACATATGTGAGTTGACTGATTGATTTTTTTTATGCTTACAGGAGCAACAACAAAGCAAGAGGGAACACCACGATTCTGTCAGCAAATTAGAAGATAAAGTCAAGGACCTTGAGAAGCGATATGAAGAGCAAAGCGCCAACGTTGGCAAGCTCACCCAAGAGCTGCAGAATCTCCGGAAGGTTACCAACAAAACTATGGAAGAGATAGCAGTACAGACGCAAGAGAAGGAACTAAATAAGTCAAACGAGGTTGCCAGAGCATTCGCAACGAAAGTCAGCACTGCACCCAACCAATCAAAAGGTATGATTTTATTTTCTCAGTTTACAATATTTTCTTAATATTAATGATTGAAATATAGGGGGCGCTATTTGGTTGTAGTAGTGGTTCACATCCTAATAGAGTAGGCCTATCCTGTTTCCTGGAGCAAGTATTCATGATTTTCAACACTATTAACAGCACTTTCCACACAAGAAACTTCTGAGTTTGCATGTTATATTTTCGATTGCCATTTTCATTTACAGGCGTGTGCTATTAATATGTGATAGGATTTTACCATTACCAGTATTTGATTGCTTAAGAAAGCCTCATTTGTGAATTTATAAATAAAGTACTTGCACTTATGTTTGTCCTCGGTATTACCAAGAACATCAGTTAAATGTCCTTGATATTACTTAGAAGCCATGAAAAGATTCGGTTAATGCTCTTGTTCAAGTTCTTTTTTATAATTATTATAGTTTTGTTTTTTTTAATCTATATAATGATAATGATTTATTAGTAGTAGCATTAGTATTGTTATTATTATTCCAGTTTTCATTATAATTATTAATTTCTTTATTGCAATTGTCCTGTTTACATTTAGTATTACCATCATCATCATTATTTATAGTCACTGCCGTCATGATTATTTTACCATTTATCAATTGTCAATATAATCATCATCATCAACACTATCACCGTCACTACTATAATCATCATCATTAAAATCATCAATGTCATTCTCATCCATATCATTATCATCATGTTATCAATATCTTAATCACCATATCAATATCATTTTCATCATCATCATTATCAAAATAATGTTTTGGACATGTTTTCCTAGTGATTTCCTACCATTTTAATATTTATACAGTCTTTTATGAACATTTTGGACTCCTTTTTCCCTCCTGACATAGATTGGTTAGATGATTATGAGGTGATAATGGTGAATGAGTATGCATTTGTCTCACTAAACGGTACCCCTCTAGCCCTACGTGATTTGGAAATGTCAGGTGGGATGCAGCTCAAACTTATCACCTATCACTCATTATGTGTTTAACTTACAGTGCTAGTCCCAAGTTATCACATTCCGTGCCTTATATGCTGTATATGATAGTAGTTGAGCATCAAAATATAACCATAATATTAAATATTACATGGTAACTGATCACATGGGGAGTGTCTCAGGATGTTGACATTAATCAACAGATATTGAGCATTAAATGTGAGCTGTACACATGGAACTAGCACTACTATTCATTCACTGCAATATAACATTTTGAAACGCTGCCTAGGTGACCAGCTTAATACAAACGATTGTTTCCATCTGTCAGATAAAGCCAACAGACATCGAGGCAGCATAACAATTTGTGGCTGGGTGAATATCCTTTTCTAAGCAACTTTGAGTGAATTCTGGTCAAATGTTTTTTTAAGATATCATACATCATAATTACTAGCTTTTCCATTGAACAGGGGGAATGAGTGCATTAATGCCCTCTATACACAGATTTATGTGTTTACGGTACTGAGTATTTCCACTTCAATTAAGTGTTAATAGTTCTGCTGTTATGATAGAATTATACAAAACATTATCTGTATCATTTGATATAGCATTAATGCCGTAAATATTGTTCTATATCATTATTTTATGAAGTTTTATAATAACATTTTATAATGAGTGTACTATAACATAATGTTATGATAAAGTAACCTAATACGATGTAGAAAAAGATGGGTGCCAACATGGATTGTTGTCTTGTTATCGCTGACATCAATTTTTTCCCCGTAGCAAAAGTCTACTCATTCGTATAACATCATCATGTTATAATGATATACTATAAACTTATGTTATAGTGATTGTACTATAATGTTAATATGTTATAATCCTTGTATAAACAGACAGTACAATAATTGGACTATAATATCACCATGATATAGTGTTTGTACTATAGCATTGTGTTAGATCTCTCAAAAGGCAGAGGTTTCCCCCAACTTTAAGGGCATTCCCATGCACTCTCAAAATTTAATTTTTCTCAGAAAGAAAATTTAGAAAAAGGATGCTCTTGGTGGTAGCATAGTTCAATTATTTAACCATGAGAAAATTTTTAAAGAATTTTATCTAACTTGTGTACTCTGAGTTATAATTATGTAATAATCATCATTATGTTACTGTGATTATACTAACATCATTAGTTTGAGTGATATACTATACTATTATATACTCCCATTTGTATGATGATTTCACTATAACATTCTTTATATTGCAACCAATATTATGCAGGTTATATCTGGTATAATAGTTAATACTATTACAACTATAGTGTACCATATAACATCATCATATCATAGTGTAACAATAATACCAATCTATACCAAGTTTGACTATATTTCTTCTCTTTTTTGTTTTGTTAAATATTTAAGGTTCTTGTAATAACCATATGCTTTTTTTCATAATCTTCATATTTTTAATATTGATAATGTATGTACTAATGCCTGATTTTATTTTTTCCCTCTAGATTCTTCAACTAAACTTTATTTGAACCTCTCTGCTCTCAGTGTATTGATAATCTTTATATGCACTTAATACCTTGTTGAAAATTGGAATGGTCTAATGTAATTAATGAAAATATTAAATATATGTCTAAGATATTAAATAGGATAGATAATTTTTCAACAGGGATGTGTTAATTGATCGTCTGTTTATATAGGTGTAGCTCCAATTACTATAGCGTTTCTAATCAAAGCAGTCTAGGCAAATCTACCAATTTCCTTAATGCATACGCCATATGAGCTTGTCGAAAGGGCTTGTATTTTTTTTCTTATTTCATTCACTCTAGTCATCATTTCATCTTGTATATTCTTTCCTTTTCTCTCTCCATTGATTTTTTTTTTAGTATATTTCTTGTTCATTTCCACACATCTGAATTTTCCATTTCTTTATTTCAAGCCTACAGATTTCCATAATATATAAATAAAGCATAACCATTATATAGTCTTATTCCTGCTTTTATATATCACATTGTTATAACATCATAACAGTCCCTCTTGTTATATTATTTCCTATTTTTCTCTGCTTTATGTATCAATCACTTCATTTTACTCTTTTTCACTCAGTTGTCCATATTACATCTTATTCATTTTTATATTTTATTCATTTATTATTTTTTCTTCATTTCTCTTCACTTATGTATATATATCATCTCTCTTCCTTTTTCTAATCCTCGACCTCCATCTTTTCTTCCATATTGATCCACCTCTTCATTTATAGTGTCTTTTACTCTTTTTATATCTACTCTTCTCATTCTTATTAGGATTATGTATATAGCCGTAGGTTGTTATGCTAGTTGTGATGCACAAGTAACCTAATACTACTTTAGATTAGGAAAACATAAATAATTTATTTTTCCATTTATTTACCTCCAGCCAATCCCCTCTCCTTTTATTTCAAATTATATGTGTAGCTACAAGCTTAATATTAAAGTGCAAAGCACCCGGTAACACTATCCCAAGTTATGAAGATGAATTCAATAAGTGCAATATCATTATCAATTATTCAATTAATCATATTTTTGATGATTTGGCCTCACAAGGGATTTCAGTACATAATGGATTTGATCTCGGAAGATGATTTTTGGAAACAATCTTGTAACTTAAAACATAGCACTCGAAAAAATACTACCACCGCCTAACGAATACATTAATACGTCTGGGAGATGGCGAGACCCAATTAATTTACATGTAGGAACATTTTTTATGATGGTAGAACTATCATTAGATTTGTTGTTAGCAACTATGATTAGGGTGAGATTGATAATCAAACTCTGGTGGTCAGAAGCATCCACTTATCCATATTCAACTTTGAGATATTTCTCTTAATGAATCCTCACTGGCTAAGTGTCCACTACCTAAACTTAATAAATTGCTTATTATATATGTTTCAGTCAAGTTATTAGCCTTTAAATGATGAGAAGGAAAAAAAATATACCAATATTAACACCCTCAGGAGATTTATAGTAATAGTTTTTCAATTAGCAAAAACTGCATTTTTACAATCTATCTGTGTATCAATGAATATGAACACTTGACTCGCAATTCAATGTTTTAGACTTAGTTTTTCGGTTTGCCCCAGATCTTGCCATACACACATATATAACTGTTAATAAAATGAAGTTTAATATTAAAAAATGGATAATATAATCGATTGTAGTTACGGTAATAACTTGAACAAATCATTGATGTTATTTTCAATTAACTTCACTTATTGCACTGATCGCTGATGTTAGTAAATACAGAAAAATTATGCTCTAAAAACACTGGCTATATAGTTCTCTGTTTTATTCATATGTAACATAAATAGATTAACTTTACCATCTAACACAGAAACACATTTTGTCATTCCGTAAGCATCCTAAATCCACTGTCATCTTTAATTAATTTAAATACTTCCACTAATAATTGAAATCAACTATATATCTATTGGTATTCATTCTCACATAAAAATGGTTTTCCCCTGATCTTGCCATACACACAAGTATAACCCTCTTTAATAAAATGAAGTTTAATATTAAAAAATATAATCGATTATAGTTAATTACCTGGACATATCGTTGATGTCATTTTCAATTAACTTCACTTTTTGCACTGATCGCTGATGTTAGTAAATACAGAAAAAATATGATGACTCTAAAAACACTAGTATACAATTGCTGTTAAAACACTAAACATGTGCTCAAATTTATTAATATTAATACCATAATTATTTTTTTTATATTAAAAATGAGAAATTGCATTTTTCTTATCTTATTTAGCTATATATTTCTCTTTTTTATTCATATGTAACATAAATAAATTAACTTACCATCTAACACAGAAACACATTTTGTCATTCCGTAAGCATCCTAGATCCACTGTCATCTTAAATTAATTTAAATACTTCCACTAATAATTGAAATCAACTATACATCTATTGGTATTCATTCTCGCACAAATGGTGATGAAAGCATTCAAAAAGCGTTGATCGCTGATTGAATAACAATGAACCTCTTAAAAGGGTCTATGTAATAACTTTCACTAGATATATCTTCTGTATTTCTTTATGTGTTGCCTGAGGATACTAATGTAGAGATACTTTTTATTGCAAAGGGGAGAACTTGGAGGAGGTGTTCCAGCTGCCAGAATCAAAGACAAAGGAGGATTCAGGTTCCATCGGGACCGATGTGTCCTCCTACTGTGAAAAGATAAGGCGTCTTACCCTGTCTGATAGTGAAGATGACTGGGGGATTGGACTGGGAGGTGAGATATATTGTAGAGTCGCATATTACAAAATGTAATCTTGGATAGATTAATGAAATCACTCAACCTCTGACATTGTGGTTTCAGACTCAATGTTGAGGGCGCATGTTTGAATTCTGTGTACAATCCGTTGCTTGTGTGTACTGCACTTTGAAAATCGCCACTGAACTGTATAAAGTGGTAGCTGGTGGAATTGAATTCATTGGTCTTTATGCAATGCACTGCAACTACAAGGAATATTTCATAGGTAGCAAATATGTATGCACTCTGAAATAAATTAAAAATATTACTTGGCAAAAAAAAAAAAAGCTTAACATGAGTAAATATTAATTTGAATAATAAATCACACCATAATAACAATTTCAACAATACACATTAAAAATTAACCAGATAAGATATCATTTTATTTTGTCAAATATTTTTAAGTGGATTAAGATCACGTTCAAGCTTAGGCAGAGCTAAATTTAGTATCAAATGGAAATTTGGGTTTCAAATTAAACAAAAAATAAAAAAATACCCCTGTCCTCAACAGCAACCAAAGCCTTTCATAGTGTATAGTTTCAAAAATACTAGAGAGATCTTTCAAGATTTCTCTCAAAACATTTGATTGATAGCAAAGCAAGCCATATACCACCTGATCCTACCTAAGGCTTCAGTCAAATCTTGTCTGCTTAGCAAAAGTCAGATACAATAAATTGTAGTCACTAATATGTATGCCATCAACAACATACAGTACTACTAGCCTATACAGTTCTGATGTTAAAAGGCAAAACCAAAAAAGCTTTTCACCAACGTTTTCAGTAAAAGCAAATTTTAGATGATGTTCTATTAAAGAAATTGTGCGGAAACAACAGTTGCTGGCTCATTTGGCATAGCTTTGGAATGGTGCATTTGGCAGAGTGTCAGAATAACACTCTGAATGTCACTGGTTTGAATCCCACTGAGATCCTTATTGTCTTCGTTCAACTTAATTTTAAAGATGCTCTTGGTTTTTTTATTTTTTCATTTATAACATATTGGCTTATAAACAACAAAAAATAATGCAACGAAAGATGACAAGATAACACAAATTATTAAAAGCATTTGTGTTTCACTTTTTAATACAGAAACCAAATTTATTTGGGTCATCAGACTTAGCAATGACTTAGAGTGATTACATTTTTACAAGAACACTAATTGGTCAAAGATTCACATCAGTTCGTTGCCCTAACTAAAAGAATGTAATTTAAATGTAACCCACATCTAGTGCTTGGTCTCTGAAATTTGTAATTGCTAATAATTATTATGCACCCAATTAATAGTTATGATTTTATCTATAAAAAGTTAATCAAGGCTAATATAAATAAGGACCTACAAGGGTATTTTCAACCTACATTGAGGGTAGTATAGCTGCTACATTATTTTTATACATATATTTTACGCATATGAATACATTCATGAACAGATCAATTCGAAGGTGAAGCCGTTTGAAATGCTAGTTATAAATTATTCCGTTAATGTAACTGACAATTTTGGTTTAACTGGAAGTGGACATCTCTTGGGACGTAAAAGCACGAAACGAAAGCCAAAATGACTACAACGCCAATGAGACATGCAAAATTGTCTTGCTCCATGTCTTTATTGAGAAACCATATTTATAATAATGCTGTCATAAAACAACATGTATAATATAATAGGAGCATTGTTTTGGCTGTAATTAGTATAGTAATACGTGCATAAAGCATATGCCGTAGCTCATACCATGTATGTCTATGATGTGATATTTTATTTTTATTTTATTCATTCTGGCAAATACATAATTGTAAAAAAACATTACAAGAACATAATATCAGCATTGCACAAACATATAGCAGTAACGATGAGCCAGTGAGCAGCAAAAGTGAAACTGCTGTCATCTTAGAGATGTGCTTCTCGCAGGTGAAATTATTCAAAGATTAACATAAATTCTACAAAAAATTAAATGCAAAATTTGTAACGTAATAGGAAAAACATGTTTCTGTTTATATTTCTTGTGGGAGTTTTTTTATTTATACATGTTTAATATAACAAATTTGTCCATCCTTACTCAAATGTAAGATACAATAGAAGAACAGTATAGCTTTTAAAATGTTTACTGTGTACCATGAAATAATTTTTCCACCAATTTTAATATCATTTTACTAAATTGTTTAATCATTAATAGCTCCATGTTTACTACCAGGGTTTTAATGGACCTTCCACCACGCCCCTTGGATATTCTTGCAAGACCCACAAAATGACAGTGTAAAAACATATACACAAACACATTTGTGGGACAACATGTATGCTTGTGAGACACATGAATTCCTGGGCTTGTTCTGATTGGCCAGTTGTTAAGTTTGATTGGCACTCAGGAAAAGTCTATGTGGGAGGAGCCACTTCTGGTAAATCTAACAGGATAATAACTTGCTGTGCATGTTGATACCCATGGCCAGCTGACTTCAGGAAAACAATTTCAAATACAGTAAAAAAAAACATCATGAATTTGCGGGAGATGGATTAATTTCTGGGGATTATTTACTTGCCAGCTCATGGAAGTACTGAAGACAATACCGATTTCTAAGAATCTCCCCACAACTTTGCAGAATACTTAAAATCCTGTAGTACTAATCCTAGGCTGGCTAAATTTAAACATCATTCTATATCCGTTGCAATTTAGCTGTAAATGTTCTTGATGATATTTTAAAATTTTATTTCCTTCTTCAGCTTTGTACCTCCATATGAAATTCAGTTTCATAGAACATTAAAGTATCATGCAATATACATGTTTTTGTTTTTTTTTCCAAGACTAAAATGTCTTGCATATTCAGAGCACAGCTGAAAATAATCTTGTATTGTAATACATGTGGCATATCATATCTATTATATCTTTATTAATGAAACGTGTCTTAAAAACATATGTTCACATAATTTTATCAATAACACATTTGTCATAAACACAGATGCATACTATTTCACATACATATGTTCATGTACAGTATGATACATAAAAATGAAAAATATATGTGCTTATAGAAAAATGGTTAAAAATCAAATACAGAGCATGTGTTTTAGAATTTGAGTACTATTATGTACAAGATACATGTGTTATAAACTTTTTATATCATTTTTATATACTTTTTTATATACTTTATTTCAACCATATTTAAATAGGGTGACCCTTCTTCCAATTCAATTTAGAAGGTCAGCCTAAGTTCAGGGCATCTTGGAAGAAATTTCAGTTGATAAGATTTATGTAAAATAATTTAAACTATATCAAGCACAATGATCATGAATTTTAAACCAATAATATGAAACATACATATCCACATACATATGTACATACAACATACATACACACACACACATTATTGATTTGAAGTAAAGTATATAGGATCTGCAGTAGCTGTAGTGATTGTCTGTCCTTTTGGTTATGTAATGCGCCAGGAAACATCCCGAAAGCAAATATTTAAAAAGATGCGTGTTTAACCTGTATTTTACAGATAGAGCAGTTTGATAAAGTAGAACTAGGATTACCGAATGGTATCTCTGTGGCTCAGTACACATGCGGTGGTTACCACCAATCCAACTTCTGTATTCCGTTCTCTAAACTATACATACAGTTTTTTGTATGATAATAAATATATTTCATTGCCTTTTCTTGCTTTTGATTACCAATAACTTTTATTCCTACTCTAGAAGCTCTAACCAAGCAAAGTAAAATTGCTGTCAACGGATCTCTGAGCGACCATGCTCTTGAGGATGGCCTGATAGGGGACAGGATAATGGCACTTGCAGATTCAAACTCAGATATCAGTTTGTCACAGGTAGAAGGTGAGGCTGGAACCAGGAGGACATCATTCTGTTGGGAAATAACGTGGGAAATGTTTTGTATACTAACAAGCTTGTTTTCATCACCTCTAACCTCTAACATATATTTTCATTTTTTTAACAGTATACGCAGTTTAACATTATTCTCAGCGAAAACAAGTAAAAAAAAAATGTATTTTAGTGTGTATTAATGTGGTTTTCTCACAAATTCACAGTGTAATCTCATGTATCCAGTACTTTAAAATTTGAAAAGTGACCCAAACCCAAAAAGTCCACTGTGTGAACACAGTTTTGTGGTTGAATTTTAAATTTGTTAGTTTGTTTAATGCTGTGTAACTGTATTGTATATTTAGACTATACGGACGACAACTCAAACTATTTAATTACCTATATTTAAATTAGATTTTAATCTTAAATATAGATATGTGCAGCATGAGCCAATCACAGTATAGAGCCCAGACTGTTTATATATTCAAAAGATATAGATGCATTATTGTGAATTTGTGGGAATGCCACTTCTATCATATATCTTCTAACCTCATAAAAGAGATTGTATCACTGAAGATCAGGAGTTCATATGATGAATTACATCCGTAGTTGAATAGTTGTTAATCTCATTTTGGTTCGCTTTTTTAATAACATTTTTTTTTTCTTTTTTGGACTATTTTTCTTGTCATTATTTTCACACCAGATGTATGTAACTTTTGATAAATCTGTTATTTTTAGTCTCTCATTAACCATCACATTCTTTACTAGGGCAGTGCTGTTGACTTTATTAGCTTTTCCTGTCCTCTCTGTAGAATTACAATGCGTTAACATCATGCTTGAAATCTAAATAGTATGTTTCTTCATCACAGAATAGAGCCCAGACTGTTTATATTTTCAAAAGATATAGATGCATTATTGTGAATTTGTGGGAATGCCACTTCTATCATATATCTTCTAACCTCATAAAAGAGATTGTATCACTGAAGATCAGGAGTTCATATGATGAATTACATCCGTAGTTGAATAGTTGTTAATCTCATTTTGGTTCGCTTTTTTAATAACATTTTTTTTTTCTTTTTTGAACTATTTTTCTTGTCATTATTTTCACACCAGATGTATGTAACTTTTGATAACTGTTATTTTTAGTCTCTCATTAACCATCACATTCTTTACTAGGGCAGTGCTGTTGACTTTATTAGCTTTTCCTGTCCTCTCTGTAGAATTACAATGCGTTAACATCATGCTTGAAATCTAAATAGTATGTTTCTTCAATAATATTTCAAGACTCTTGAACTGTTTCTGTTCACATTCTAAAGTATGAAAAATGTCCATCTCTTCAACATTAACAATATGTCTGAGTAGAGCCGTAGCGTAGTGCTTAAGATGCTCGCCTTCCAACGTCACAGTTGCGGGTTTGAGTCCTATGGCAACTCCTTTCCCTTGGCCTCTTAGTGAGAGGGTAAAAGTCATTATAGACTTTCATTCTGTGCTTCTTATTGGATTGGCAGACATTAACTTTCTGTTTATTTAATAACACATACTAGTAAATATTTACTTATTTATTTGTTTGTCTCAAACAAGTGCATTTTTTATTTGTGTTTACTGCACATATTAATAATTTATCACAACCATGTAGATGAAATGATATATATTTTAGTCAATCAAATGATGTGAAAGTGCTGGATGTTTAATTTTATGCAAGGATGAATACATAATAATGGCTTAACATTAATTTTTATGTCAACTGATCAGAGAGCCACTTTCATACTATACTTGGATTTGAATTATAAATGGAAAAACTAATATTTACTAAAAATGATGACATTATAATCATATAGGAGAGTAGATTGAATAACATAGGAAACTAGAGCATATGAAACAAACTCTAAAGAAACTAATGCAAGCCATTGTGATTTAATATTTTAAAACTTTATTTAAAATAGTTAAGATTCCTAAAGATGATTAGATTGCCAGTAAATTTAAGAGTCTATGTAAAGAATATATATCATGATATTTATTAAGTTGTAGGAACTAAAACAAATCCTGACAAGGAACATACATTGAATCACTATGTCTTGCATTTGCTTTCTTTAAGTCTTTTTTTCATACTTTCTTTCCAACTTATTGTTGGACCATGGTTTAATAGGTAACTTCTGATAATTTGTTATAAAGTAGTGTCTTTATTATTCTCTATCTACTTTAGTAATACCTTCCATCTTGCTCTAGATTCTATTTTAACAAATGTTGCTCATGATCATTAAAACCATTTTTAGATATTGAGTATCAGATGAATTATTAAAGTGTTGCATTAAATTCTTCTGTGGTTTGTTGTTGAAGTAATTAAATGGTTAATCATATGCACTTCTCTTATAGTTACAGATGCATGCATATGTGGTTTAAGAGCCAATTCACATCTCCGCATCTGTAACAGTTAATCCCTATAAGAGTTCTTTTAGCTTGAAATAATTGTAACACTTGCTGATGATGATCTTATTGTTAGTATATTCATAGGGACTTATTCAGTGTCATATAATTTATGTATGTACTATATACCTAAGCACATATATACACGTTCCCGTTTAAATTTTTAAATAAAAGTTGACATTGACGAGGTGATAAATTCTTGTGCTTGTGTTTCTGATTTTGAACAGATAAGGCATTGCCCTCCCCATCATTAAACCTTTATAGCTAACATTACCATACCGATAGCTGTTTTAAACATGTATGTCTGCATCTGTCATCTAACAATTTTTTTCACCTGTATGTACTCATCCCCGTTAGCATTCACAGACGCATCTGAGGGCGAGACCGCTAGCCTCCAGCAAATGAGCTCTCAAAGTAAAGATGACGGGCTGCAGGGTCTTGAAGCCCAGTATTACGAGGCGCTGTTGAATGCGAGTTCAGAGGAAGACGGCTTGATAGAGAGCCTCAGCAATGGCCTTAAGGCGCAGGCCGCAAGATCTGTGGAGACCGAGAAGTCTGAACACTTCTCTCAGCTGTCCTCGTCGGAGGCCATGAGTGATGAGGTGTTCCGGAACTCGGAAGGTTAGCCCCTGAAACGGACGGCATCGTTTGATGTTCAGTGTCGTTTCAATTCATCATCTGCATCTGCACCATATATTGCACTGCATGTAGATGCTTCGCACCATAGTAACAATTTTACTCTCGTCTGAGCATGCCTATAGCCCTGAACCTCACGCTTCTTTAACATTTAGCACTTATTTTCATCATTGCATCTTGCACCCCTGACAGGGAAATTCAACTGAAACAGAACTATTTTCTGCTGCAATGTTATTATTGAATGACCTGATCATCCAGATACTAAGAAGCTTTCTTTACTGTTAATTGGAACAATTAATAATTATGTAATCATTGCTTTTATTTATCACTATAATCAATTGATTGATTAATTAGTCATTAATTCTTTTTATTTCTTAGTTATGTTCTTTACTTATTCTAATGCAAGTATTGTGATGTTTCAGATAGCTTGATGTACAGTATATAAATATAAATTGTGTTGTAATTATTCATTTTCTGAAGGAATGAAAAACAATTTTTTTTTAATGATTCATTTATTATTTAATGTTTCATTGGGTCATATTATATTATTGATATTACAATTAAAATTTATATTACTTCAATTAAGTACCCATGATGTAAACAAGTTATAAAGTTGTTATTACTATTATTATTAATTGTATTATTGTTATTTCTGCACAACTATTAAGCCTTATAACAAATGATGCATAACATGAACAATAAGGTTTTTGGGTTTCCGACTGAAAAAAAACCAAGGTTTATTAAGTTTACCATGATGTTTATTTCTTTGAGCAAAGGCACTTAAATCCATATTTTCTCGCTTCACCCTGGATGTGTATGCCCTAGTAGGCTCATGCATCAATATGAAATACTCCTCTGGGGAACTGTATTTGTTATTGTTATTTATTATTATTCATCACTACTATCAAAATACTAGGAAATTTGTATAATGTCAGTTTCGCTATACCGTATGGAGGCATTGAACCTTTTTAATGATGCACTTTTTTAGAATGGATGTTATATTTGGAATGGATATATATATCTTTTCGTACTCTATGAATATCTACCTGGTACTTAAATCAGGTTAATTAAACCATCAATTAGGTTGATTACACTTCAAAATATCCTGGATGAACTAAATCATGCTAGTAAACAATGTTCATCCATTTTATTGTGGGCGGTTCCTTGACAACTGACAACAGCCAATCACATTTGCTTTTAAAGTAGTCATTATTTTAATAGACCTCGGGGCAGTCCCATGACAGCTGATTAATGATACTGACCAATCAGATGTAATTATTCCGATGGTTGTGACTTTTAGATTGATGTTCTGGCATTTCCATGACAACTGACGACAGTAGCCAATCGGGATCACTTTCAGATGCTTACAATTTTGATTATGTGAACTTAGTACTTATTCCTGTCTTTCTGTTCCAAGCTAACATTTAGCTTCGCCTAAGGGTGCACTAATTATTGAAAAATGATGTTAATATTCTGCATAATTTAGACATAACATGATTTTAGGCTTACATGATAAATCCAGGGGGAGAACAGTTGTAACGAAACAGATTTTCAGTTTACATTATCCCTCAGTTCCTAATGTATATAGAGGGGTTTGTCAAGAATCAGGGGAAATTGTTGAGTTGTAGAAGGACTGTCTGTTACTGTTCCTTAGCCGTCTTCTTTTGAAGGCACTTTTATCATAAGACACTAGCCTGCTAAACAATAATAATAATGGTTCTTTATTTTTCCTCATTAAAATTGGAAGTTGGAATAGACCGAATTAGTCACCAAATATTTTCACCAAGTGGGTATTAAAGTTGTTTACCTCGCCGAAGCCCTATGCTAATTCATTGAGCGGAGTCGAAAGTGATATATATTAAATCTTATAAAATGTAATGAAGAAACTTTTTATAAACAACGTATACATTTTGAATGATTCATACTGTAGATTCATGAGTCAAAGGTTCATTTAATCTACATTTCCATTCAGACTAAAAATATAAAGTTTAGGGGTCCTAGGCCAATCGCTCGCGGTGCTCTCCACATTCACCACTGACTAAGGCGATCTCTGTTGATTTAGAGGCACACATTGAGCTTAAATACTGTCACCAAGTCATTTTGTTGCAATTTCTGTATGAAATATTTAAACTATTGGACAAACTTAAATTGCTGAATAGCAGAATAAGATGTTTCTTTTGATTTTGATGGCCAATGAATAGAACGTTTGTATTACTCTATATTCTAGGGCTAGGCCTGTGTTCACACAACAAGGCTATGCTAACATGTTCAAGTTTTCCATCAGTTTATTTCACTCCATTTCAAATCTAACGGGTTAAAATTCTAACGTTTATTAAAGAAATATTTACCAAGGCTTTTCGATAAGTTGTTTTATGATAAAATGTACAAATAAATAAGTTTGAGGAGTTTTAAAACTGTTGAAATTTATTTTAGCGGAGGCTTCTTATTGTGTGAAAAAGCTGCCGCCTAGCGGTTTGGTTTTGATGTTATACCCACTATAACCGCTTTGTGTCGGGGACTAATTCGGTCTATTAGAAGTCCGCCGGGACCTGCAGTAGCCACATTGCAGAGCCACCAGACTAAATTATAATATGTAACAGATACATACAAACATAGTCCTTAGCCCATCTAACTCTTAATGTGAGGGTTATTCAAGGGGTCAAACGATCAGACTCCAATTCAAACCGGACGCTGGCCAGGTTTGATTCGGTGTCTTCAGCACAAAAAGCAGGAACTACACCTCTCGGCCAACCGCTCAGCTCTAGTGTACTGACTAGTAAAATTGAACATATTAAAAAAAATTTGAATTGATGACAATATATTAAATTTATTAGATCCTCTTAAATAATAGATAAAAATGATTCAATGTTTTAATTTAATTTTTTGACTTTTTTATTTGTTCTAAATTTAATTCTTGTGCAACAGCAAGCAACTCGCCACTTACTCGACCACTTACTGATGCTTTATTAACTGAAGTTTCCATATGAGGCTTTCGGAATGGAGATTTAAATTGAGAAAAAAAAAATCCTGGTGTCTCAGGATTTGAACCCAGGACTTTGGAATTGGAGGGCTAGTTCATGTCAGACTTTAACCACATTATAGTAAATTTTTAATATTTAATGAGTGATGTTTCGATTAAGTCTCTCAATTATTCTTTATCTGTAATATGTCTGCTTATCCAATCATGTCGCTGCTGTCCTCAACTTCAGCATGGTTCATCACAACATCTAGTAGGCACCTTACAGCTCATCTCCAAGAGGCTCTATAATATCCGCTTCTAACATATATTTGCCTGCTTCAAGTGTATAGATTACTATTGACATTTTTGGATTTAATTTAATTGATGTTCGAAATTCCACTGGTTAATATCTAATGATATTTTGACATTTTTTTCCCTGAAGATGCAAACTTCATTTGAATAATGCTTAAATTTCATTTTTCATTACTGGTTATCTCTATGTGTGTCAAATATTTTATAGCAAACTATTATTTAGGTCATAAATTTATTCCTTAGCTCACTTGAAATCATGATGCTATATTATTAATGATGAAGTTGATGATACATAGTTGTAACTCTAGGCTAGTAAAATATTGGCCCAGATTTGCTTGCCCTCTCCAACTATTTTTTTCCATATTTTTGTTTAAATTATTATTTTATCTTAACAACGATGGTTGCTAAGAGTGGCCAGGATTGTTTGTTTCCCCAGGCAACCGTTATGTGGCAGCATTGGATGTGGTGGTGATGATGATGACAATGACAAGAATTATAATGATAATCTTGTTGATTATGACAATAGTGATTAAGGTGAAGATGATGATGATGAATATGATGATCATAATGACACTGATGACAAGTATTATGATAATTATAGTAAGAGTGATGACAAGAAAGAAGATGACAAGGATGATAATGATGATAATAATGAAGAATGTTGGATGATGTTAACAAAAATGAGAATAGGATGATGATGTTTGCAAAAGTGATGATACAATGTTGATGATTAATTGTAATTTTCTGTTTTAATCCATTGGTTAATATCCATAAATATATTTCATAGTCATCTGAATGCTATGTAATATCCATATTGAATTTGCTCTAGATAGGAACTGTTAATATTAAAGAAGGGTATGATTTATTAATGAATGTATCTCGTGTTTTGATCTCCAAGTCTCCAACATGTTTAATTAAAATATGTTCTTTGAGATAGACGTGTTATTTTCACAGTCCCTGATGAAGTATCCACTAATAATCATCTGTATAATGACTTTTCATGTCAGTTCAGAGCTTATTCCCTTGCATAATTGATTGCATAATGTTAGCACATCGTTTATTATTGTCATGTGGATAATCATTTTGGTATCAATATGTCAAAGCGTTACAAACAGTAGGAGTTGGTGGAGGCAGTTAAGTTGGAGAATACAGTAAAAATATTATTCAATGTCCTTTATTTGTATATCCTGTATAATATGCTGAGGAAAATATTATTTTACTCCCAATATTATATTTAAAGTTTGGAACAAAGAATTCAACCAATCAGGTATCTTGAATTTAATGAGCAACCAACGAAATTAAGTGTTTAAATTAATCCTCAAATAATGAATTTCTTAAAGATTTAAGTTCCAACTTTCAGTGACATTTCAAAAAGTTTACAAATTTTCATCTTTCACCCGCATAATCTGATTTTTCACATAGTCCTTTAAATATTTTCTATATGTCAATACACCATTAGGGATTTTAAAAGCGACTGCGTCATATATAACATCTTGAAGTCTATATAGAACAATTGATTTGTGGGTGAATTTCTGTTGAGTATAAATCAGTTTGAGTCCGTTTCAGTAAACAGGCAGATGACAAACATTGTATATGTGAAGATTGAAACAAGTTTCCAAAACTGCTGATATAAAAACTAGTGATTATAATATACAAACAACCTACATTTTGTTGTAAAAAGCAAAGAAATGTTATGTTTATTTGTTTATTCTTTTATGCAATTTTATTGAATTAGGCATATAATTATATAGCCCTTACTGTAACAGTACTAGTTATATTTTTTTTTTCTTTCTTTTCAAGTTTTTTCCTCATACCTTCTCAAAGTACTTGCTGTCTTTCCAATGAATTTTTTAGCAAATTTGATATGATACCCATGTTTTTTCTTGTATTTGTATGGTTTTCATATCAACTTACCAGGGTTAAGACCTGTTACAATAAGTAATGTATGACAGTAATATATGGATATAAATAATGGATAATATAATATATGTGTAATTGAGTAAGTATAAGGACTTACTTATAGCAGAGATGTCTTATCATTTTTCCCATTATTTATCTAACTTTGACCTAGGTCGATATCAATCAATGACAAAGGAAAACTTGGTTTCGCCAACTTCTGTCTGTCATGCAGGCAGCCAGTTGGAATGCGGCGTGTTTATTTGTTAGTATTATTTGTTCACAAATTGTCTTTATTATTATTATTAATCCTACTGTATATGTTATGCATGAAAAGTTAAAAAGTAAAATAATTAATGTATGCAACATAATATTATTATTAGTTTTCGTAATGTTATTTATTATGGTATTATATCCAATGTAAATTTCTGTAAGATATTTTAGACAATAATCAATGACTTTTTGAATTTTTATGTTGTGTTATAGTTAGGTTTTGTGATTTTTTTTTAAATTATAATTATGTAAATTTTATAAATAATCTTTGGCATGATAGAATAAAGTGAAATGTTATTTCCATTAATTAATATTAATATTTTTTTGCTGTAATATATAGACATACATCCATTATATTATATTATATTTCAATGAATGAAAAAGCACATTTGGGCATGGTGCTATAAAGAAAAGTATATTATTTATATTTTATTATTATAAGTGTTAAAAATATATCTATAGATAGATTATTATTATTATTTAATAGACATGGGGTGCATTCTTGTTTTCTTTAAGTATTTAGTTGATAACCCTTTTTTATGTAATCTAAGTCATGTGAAATTAGTTTGATTTTCTTTGTTTCTCTTGCATTGTTGTTAAGCACCTCAAGATTGTGTTAACATATTGCGACATGTAAATTAAGAATAAATATTATTTTTAACCTTATTATATACTACTCAAGCTAAAAAAAAAAGATCTGTTTCCATCATCATCTATCTTTCCAGACAGGATGTGATAGTTTGTCTGACATCTTCATTAGTTCTTATCATCTATGTATTCTATTCTTACATTTAATATTTGTTTAGGTCTAGTAATCAACATTCTCAATTCATAACGAATCGTTTCTTTGTTCTGTTATCTATATTTATGTCACAAGAAGATCTCTAATAATGAATTTAATCAGACTGAGCAGCGTATTCCAGGATAAATGCATCATACTGCGTATAGATCACCGATACACAATGCCAATTCGCAAAAGTCCAAATAAAAAAAATCACTAGTTTCTCGCCCCCTCGCACATCCATTTTTCTCTGCCTCACCAATTTTTTTTTTTTTTTATATCCTTTATTTTACAAAAATGTATGAAAATCTGCCTAACTCACATTGATCAGTAAAATTCCTCTCTCGATCATTTGTGGTTGGGGATACATATGATATGAATCATGTCTAGTGCTTCTTTTCTTTGCTTTCAATGTGTCTACTTGGTAAATGTGAGAAAGTAGTAGGTGTTTCCCTTTGATCACCATGGATTTGCCATATCGGAGTAAAAAAATGTGCTCTCATTCTCCTTTTTTCAAAATATTTGGACGAGAAACTACTTTTTTTTTTACTTGGCCTAATCCTCTCATTGTAATCATGGTTGGTCCATTTGCGATTCATTAGATTCATCATGCTGTGTTTTTTTTTTTTTACTTTCTTTCGTGTATCATTCAACATCACGTTATTAAATTTGTTTGTCTTTCTGTCTTCATTTGTGGTAATACTCCATTCTGCCATTTCAGTTATTTATTCCTGTCACATAAAAAGCGGAGTGGTTCATTTGACGTCATGTTGTTTTCAGATTATGCTTGTAAAATGTATGCTAAAAGGTGTAATTAACTCCTAATGATACTTCCATATTATTATAATATAAAGTTCAATCAACTGTATTATTTTTTACATGCATTATATTCTGACTTTCTATAAACATTAACAAGTAATTTACTAATTTATTCTCAAAAAACTAAATCTTAATCAAAGAGGTGCTTTAATCTATACCATTTGACTGAAGCTAAAAATAACTTGGGAGGTGGGGAAATTGAAGACTTGGCTTGCTTACTTAGTATAAGTAATTTTTTAGCTTTCAATTGAAATTTAAATTTAGGAAAAAAAGCCTCCCAAATTAATGGACGGCTAATTATTACCGATCCTATTTCTCTTGCGTAGACCATTAACGTGGATGGTAATCAATTTGAGAGTTTTTGTCATAAAAAGTCTGTAATCAACAAAAACATTTTCCAATCTGTGTATGATTGGAAGTTGTTAACTTTTTGGCATTTTAAGACAGACAATATATCTTAAAATTGGTTTAAAGTAAGCTTTTGATTGGCTCAATTTTTATACAATACCAATTATGATTCTTGCCATTTGATTGGTTGATTATAGATCACATGGTATCTAATTGATCTTTTGATTGGTTCATTTAATGTTACAATGCCATATTTTATACCATATTGTGGGTGAAACTAATCATTCTTCAATACTGATTTCTTCATCTCATGGTTGCCTGTGAAGCAGTGCATATTACCATATAGCAACTGAAGTAACCATGAACAAATTTATTTATTATCAATTATTCTAGACCATGTATAAATAATGCAAGGTTATTTTTTTTTTCTGGTTAATTCAAATGCTACGGAAACACAGCCTCTATCAAGATGTACCAGTTGATCGCTGGGATGTGTTATATTTAACAGCTAACCTGTCACTTTAAATATGTATTATATAACTTTAAAAATGAATTACTTCATTGTTACAGTTGTGATACAGTTTTTTTTTTTTACCTGAATTGTCATTTACATCATCGTACATTTTTATAAAAAAGAAACTAGGTTGAAATAAAGGTTACTTTCTCTGCAATCCTATGAGGTTTTAATGATCGCATTTGTCTTTGAATATTTCAGATCTGTCGAAGAGCGGATCATTACCTTCTGATAACCAAGCACGGAGAGTTAGTAGCCGAAAGGTAAGTGGAGAATTCTTGCAAGAGTCAGTCAAGTGTGAAGCAGTGCGGGCGGGTGATAAACGAGCGCCAGTAAATAACATACGCAATATGTGTATAGCTTGGATATGTTGAGAGATTTTTAAAACCAAATATAGTTCAGTCATTACCCAACTTAATGAACACAGAATTTTTGATTTTGTTGTTTTTGTTTTCTATGTGTGGTGAGTTAATATATTTGGACAATAATTGTAAATGCTGTTGTTATAAGTAGAACATGCTACAAATATATTTATTGTTGTTGTTGTTTTTGTTGCTGTTGTTGCTGCTGTCAATTGTTATTAATTTTAATTGTTATGTTACTCTTCTTCATTTTTTAAAATCTTATTTTGTTTTTATCTTTATAATTGTTATTATCATCTTATTCTCTGTTTTTACATCGCCAGTATCTTAGCTACACACATCAAAACCATCTTCATCACCATCATCATCCTTTCCTAATTACTCATTTCTATTGACATTTACTCCTAAATAGAGGGCATCTCAGCACATAAATATGTAATTATCCAATTTTTTTTTTTTTTTACTTCGTTCTTGCAGTCTAAGGATTCAGACGAGGTGGATGTAAGCATGCTACAACGACTTCAGTCGGCAAGCGTCAACAAGCTTGCTGTGTTCATCGCACGCTACAACTACACGCCATCTTCCGACTCGCCCAATGAGAATCCAGATGCTGAGCTTCCACTTAAGGCAGGCGAGTACATCTACGTGTATGGTGATGCAGATGAGGTAGGAACACCGATATCTAAAAAAAATAGCAAATAGAACCATTCTATGATTTCCAGTGTTTTATTTAGTTCCATATTAATGTCAGCTTTTTTAAATGAGTCTAAATTACCGGTAATTATTCTATGCTAATATGAATGATGTTTGCCCTACCTGATGTGTTATTGTACTGCTCAGTACATTCCAAAATTCTTGTAAAAAAATCTTGCGAGTGATTTGGGTGGGAATCGAACCCACGACCCCCAGATATCTAGACTGGTGTCTTAACCACTCGACCACTGAGCTTGTGCTTGGTGGGTAGTGATAACATCATTTGTATTATTATTTCTCCAGACGAAAAATGCCATCGGAATTATTCTTTGCCTTTTAAAATGCAATCATTTTCTGATTTTTTACTTTTCTGATAGGCTGTATATAAGAATATACTAATGACATTTTTATTTTGGATAAGGCTTACATTAGGCCGATTATAAAGTGATGTAAGGAAAATAAACAATGAAGTACCAAAGTTGTATTTTGTTTTCAAACTGTTACATTATAGAAAGGAAAATACATATATTAACTAATTTTAAAGAGAGCAGCCAGTTCAGACGGCTAAACTGCAGCCAGCTCAGTCGGCTAAACTGGCGGTAGCCACTGTGTATGCGCTGAACCGTGGAGATCTCTTGGTCCCCGGTTCAATGCAAGTTTCTAAAAGCACACCTTTTTTTGGATAAGACGTTTAAGCTGTTGGTCACACGTGCAAAGTGGCCCATGTACACGTTAAAGAAGGCAGTACAGTCTTTTGAAAAGTGGGGATTGTCTCCCGGTGTACTGCCCAATCACCATTAGAAGGGTCCCCCCACTGGAAAAATAAGTCTTCTTCAGACTTTCGTTGAGTTGTCCTTGGTGTTCACACCGAATAAATCCATCCATCCATAAAATTTCTCATTTCTTGTAGGATGGCTTTTATGAAGGGGAGTTGATGAGCGGAGAACGCGGTTTAGTTCCTGGAAACTTTATCGAAAGAATCGCTGGTAAGCCTCAAAGACATTTTGCTTTTTAGTACTAAGCCACAGGTAAAAAACTCCTGTGAATGGTATAGACTTAATACCAAGTCAAGTTTGCTGTATAAAAATTGTCAATAAATATTCTCAATCACTGCTCCCTTTAAAATGTATTTTTACATTTTTTTTTCTCTCAGAAAATTATTATGGTTTATAGTGCATTTATTGGTCCCTGTTTTTTTCTTGCCTTCAGATGCATTTGTTAGTGGTTGCTTGATAATATATTTATATATCTATATATTATATATTACTGTATATCCATTGCACATGCATTAAATTTTTGAACAAAATTTATATCTTTTGATTTGAAATTAATTCTGCTTGAAATTATTATTATTAATATTGTAATTCTGCAATTGTTTGCTGCCACTGTTTTCCTCAAAAAGTGCAATTATATTAGTATTTTTTCCAAATCATTATAGTTATATATGAACTTTGAAAAATGTTTGCATGGGTTAAATTTAAAATCTTAATATTTCTCTAAATTTTACTTGTCGTCCCTATTAATAAAATTATTTATTTTTTATCTGTTTTTTCTTTGCATCTCCTCTTGTTTTAATCCCCTAATTCTTATGTTTCATTAATTGTGTGTTATTGTCCTGATTTCTTCTTTACCATATTTTTTGTGTAACTTGTCTCTGTCCAGACGCCAAAGATTTGCTTGACAATCCAGGTAAATGTGAATGAGTCTGTATTTGAAGTCTAGTGTGCACACTGTTGATGCTAATTTGATCAAACACGTTCACTGCATCCAACGCATGAAAATTAGCCAAACAATTTTAGTTCACTCTCATACATAAGTTTTAATTATATTTTTTAGTTTGCTGTGTGTTCAGCTGGTAATGAAATCCATTTAATAATAAAAATCATATTTAATGAGATAAAAAGGATTCCATGGCGACTATCAATTTCATGAACAAATTTCGTTTTCACTGCTCACAGGGACATTCTTGTAACATGCAAAAAGTTTCATATTTAAAACAAATTCATTGCTGTACTCATAGATATTGATGATTTCCAAATGGATTGAATTTATTATTCATTAAATATAACAGCTGTTTTTTACTACTGTTAAGTCCAATTGGAATTCGCAATTAATTTCTCGTGACATAACAGTCATATTATCTTTTTATTGTTACACATATCTACAACCGAAGAAATTGTAGGTTCTCACTTCGAGGTCAAAGTTTTTTCAGGCATTTATTGACGCACCAATTTGGTTTTGATTTTCATCGATCTCTCGTATTTCATGTTATATGAGAATTACTCATTACTACAACACATTATCTTTTAAATGTGCTGGTAAAGTGTGTTCCCTATTCTCTTAAATCAACTGCAATGTTTAAAGCAAATCAGTTATGTTTTCCTAATTAACCCCTCCTTGCTTTATCTAGTCCACTCACACCCCATAAATCTATAGTTTTCTGTGCTACATTTAGCCTCCTGTTCTAAGAAACAAAATAATTATTTGCATCTGTTACTGTGCAAAGTTTAATTTATTATAATCATGACCTATCCTACCATTATCATGACATCATCATCATCAACATCATCAACATTGTCATCACAATGCTGTGACATGCATATTGGGCGCTATTTGAATGGATTATATTCATCATCATCGCTGTCATCACCACCACCATCACAAATACAATCACATCTTCATCATGAACATAATTAACATCACCATTACCACATTACCATCAACATCACCACCACCATTACCACATTACCATCAACATCACCATAACCATTGTCATTACCACATTATCATCAACATCACCATCACCATTACCACATTATCCTCAGCATCACTACCAACATCACCATTACCATTACCACATTATCATCAATATCACCATCACCATTACCACATTATCTTCAGCATCATTACTTTCATCAGTATTCACACTTTAACATCATCATATCAATTTTATAAGCTTTATCATGGTAATGCAATTTTTTTTTAATTTTTAATTGACAAAAATCCATCTCATTAATTTCAAGCTAAGAAAATTTCTCCATTGATTAAATTATTCATGAACTTTTTCTTGAAGGTTACGTCAAATAATTTACGATTGATATTTAAAATGTATTCAGTTCTTTTAATTATTTATTTTGATGTATGTATGTACCAAGTAGTAATCAATACAGTCATTTAAAGTAGAATCAAGTTATTCTCAAACTTGAAATTGTCTTTTATTTTTCACCATTGTTAAATTATATTTAAATTAGTTAAAACATTTTGATTGCAAAATATCAATAACTCTGAGGTAACTAATTCATAATATTCAATTATACGCTATATGAATTATAAAGTGAAAATTTATTTTTAATAATAGTTTTCATTAAATTTGTATATTAGACTTTAATAGTTAATATATAGTTATTATAGTTTATTTTATGCAGCATTAGATACCAAATTTTATCAAGAAAGTTACTATATTAATGTTGTCTAATCATCAAAGATTGTTTATCACTTGTTAATTTTTGTTCTAAAAAACTTTAATGGTCCTTAATTATGCTTAGTTTTTTTTTAAACTGATTTTAAGACACTGATGCATGGGAAATGTTCTCCCACTCATTTTAAAATAGCTGCTTTCTTGCATCAAAAAGTTCATTTTAAGTAGTGTTACTGAAATATGCATGTGCTGGACACACATTATTCACCAAATGTATTTTTGATGTGATTTTAAATTGAAGGGGTTAATATGATGGTGATTTTGTTACTCCTTCAGTGTGCTAGCATGAATTTTAATTCAAAGCATTATCATCACATATTCGTTTTTACAGCTCTGTCTGTGCTATTAAGTTTAATGACAATATGATTTGCTTTGGGTGTGATGTGACATCATGCCTATATATGGGCAAATCAGATATTTTTTGTGGAAACTTTATAATGTAGACAGAGAAAACGGAAAAGAATTGCACCATTTTGTAGTGTTTGTCAAGAGTTTACCAATGAATTTTAAATTGTTGCACAATGCATGACTTTATTAGACCAATCATCATAACAGTATTTAAAAATATATATAATCATATACTGCATTTATATGTACTATTCATGTATATACCAGTACTAATTATGGAATTCCATATTGAAGCATGGTTATGAGGTTGACTATATTATAGCATTTTCAAGTTTTAAGGTATTATATATAGCTTTTCTATAATGCTTGACTTATCTCTAGATGGCGCTGTTCCTATGTTAATGCATACCAATCATTCACACGGGTCTGAAGGTGAGAAACGTTCGGAGACTAACACATCTAGCATTAGAGACTACTTTAGCTTTTTGTTTTAAGCACTGTCCACAAATTCATGTGACGAATGTGTGTGACTTTTCCCATATATGGATATGATGATGTCATAGCATATCCATATATGGGCATGAAGATATCATATCACACTCATTGATAGCGTGGACAGAGCTTCAGTGACGTACCACATGTTCACATGGTAAATTGAAAATTCATGGATTCATCTTGAGATGCTTGTTTAAAAAAAAATATCCTTGCTTTTTACTAGTGATTAGCAGTGGCATATCTTGGGGGTGCCTGGCGGCAAAGACCCTCACTCCTGCAGTTGTCCCTTCCCCCATTGAGTATTTTCAAGCAAAAAAAATCATGCTCAAGCAGTTAAAATCACTGTATTTTTCCCTTCACGTAATCATCGAACCACTTACTTTACATTCGCGCCTTCCCCTACTAAGACATTTAGATATGCCACTGGTTATCAGCTAAAAGTCAGTGACATCATCTCAATTATTAATTACTCATAATGCTTGTGAAATTTTATACTGTCGTATGAACATGTGTCTGGCACTTTTAGTTTGCTGTGATGTCTACATTCGCTTAGTAGTAAACATTGTCTTGTAAAGTAGTTGTTTTGTAGAGCAGTGAATGACTTCCTTTAGCAGTCAATAGCCTCTCCTCAAGTTTTGTATCATTGTAAATTAGGTAGCACATGGTGTTAGAGCAATGCATCTTGTTTGCTGTTTCTCATTTTATATGTGACCATGTATTAATAATACAGTAATGTATTATTGTCCTGAAGGTATTTCAAAGTACAGTACTCGCATTGCAATGTATTACATAATGTTATAATATGACCACATAGTGCAAAATGAGTCTTGTTGCATCAGAGTCCTCAAATGTAATATCACCAACGTCATTTATTACAAAATATATTTGGTACAGCATTTTAAATAAATTTAGATAATGATTTCTGCAAGAGAAAATGATGGATTCATAAGTGTACTGTTTGAAAACAGAATTTTGGGAAAAACTACATCAAGCCATGCTGGGTATTTCATAAACTATGGTATTCAACAGCATTATAAACAAGTTTTGGGTTAATAAACCAGCAAAGATGTTACTATAGCGATATTCAACTTCTAGAAAAATGATGGAAAAATATTTACCCCAAAATTCAAATTTCATCCTTGTTTCTCTCTCAATTGGTACAAGGTGCAACAGAAGTCATTTTGTGATAGATGGTCACAAACAATACAAATGTTTGAGTATAAGTGATCTGTTATCAGGAATGAATAAGAAGTTGTTCGGTGGCATTTGTAAATCAAGGAGACTTTAGAGCAAGAACAAGGGGATCAGCTGCAATAATGATTAATATTATATTATTATTTAATAACTAGTTTTTTATGGCTGATTTTTATTATATTTAACATTGTATCCTACAAATTCCCAATGGATACCCACAAATCCTTTTAAAGTTACATTGTTAGTTTGTTTGGCAGTGGCCTCATTTATTTGCCCTATCACTTCCATGTTATTATTACTTTTGCTATAGTTATTTCCTGTATTTATGACATTGTTACATTGGATTGTGTCATGTTCATTTTTATACCTCATTTTTATTACCTTTATATCAGTGTCACAGGATTTTTTTACCTTTATTCTTCATTACTAATTTTTTTATATATTTGATATGAAATTGTAGAAGCATAAACTGGACATTTATTTCCTTATTTTCTTTTTTTTTTTACTTTATATGGCACATCATAAATTTATGTGATTTGTTCATTTCATACCAAGAATCTTCAAATTGTAGCTGTTGATTTGAAAAATGATTTATATTAGTGTCATTTTTGAGTTCTGTTCCTCACCAATTCTATACCAAAGTGTTAAAAAGGCCTACCAATTAAAACAAAAAAAAATTTTAATATTCTTATTCCAAATTTTTATTTAATTTATAACTGTATTTGACTTCCTTTAATATACTATAGAGTTATTTCTTTTTTTGAAAGATTGTGTATCTAACTGTACTGAAAAAGCCAGTTTTAAGAAAGTATCTCAACATAGTTTTAATATTACATATTTTATATTTGTCATAAATAATATAAGTGTTATTCATTTTTTATTATAGTTATATTATTTTAATGATATAATAATTAACGTTTTCACTAACATTATTTTCATTATATAATATGATGATTAATATTATAAATAATTATTATTGTCATAAATGTAATGTTATTTTTATTATTTTTTATTTAATAACCATTATAAGTTATCATGATTCCTTCATTAAAATTTCTCTACATTTTGGTTCCCTTTTTGAGGATTAATCTGCAGTGAATGAGTCATTAATTATGGTGTTTGTTTTGTTTTTATTGATGACGTTTGATATCAAGATATTTGCAAATCAATTCATTGTCATTTCTTAATACCGCAGTGCATTTGAACTAAATATAGATGCAAAGTCTCTGTGACATAATAATTCCAACCCGGGATAGAGAAAAAAACTGTATGTGTGCACATAGTATGTCCATGTGCAAGTACTAAATTTGTACCAATTTTTTTTGTTTCCTGTCCAAATTATAGATTATTATCTGATTAAGCAGCATATATAGTAGGCGGAGCAACCCTCCGACCACACCTAGTCATTGGACCAGTAAGCAGTAATAATATGTGCCTTTGTTGCTATAGGATGTTAACAGTGGTTCTAGATACTGTACTATGAAAACTGCTTTTTCATCAGTTTCCCAAACATTAAAATATCTAGGCCTCTGGACTTCTGGTATTTTTGGAACTAAGCAGAGGCCTTGGAGCACAGACTGATAATCTCATGATGCGTACCACACGTATCAGCCTAAGAATATAATAGCACATTAATGTTGATTTCAACATTTTTGAAAATCTTTACCAGAAAAATATTATTTAAAGTGGCTTTTATTATGCTCTTCAATAACTGTATTATTTAAACATGTACCAGAAATACATTAATACAAAAAAATATAGTGTTAATGACATAATTTTGGATTATAACTTGAGGATTTTTTAACTGTTTAAGCCCTCCCTTTCACCACACTTACCAATTCATTGGTAGTAGGCATATGTAACTCACAGCTGCAACATAACTAGAGCATTGCACAAATGTACATGAGTGTACCAGGCCTGTGCTAGGCTATCAGTATTTTAAGATGGATGTCAATAATTTTTTTTAATATCTCTTCAGTGAGGTTTCTAGGTCAATTTTTTTTTCATTTCTCCAATTTTATTATTATTATTATTATTATTATTATTATTAAATTAGAGAATTTTGTTGCAATCTTTAGATTATAATTGTACTTAATCCAAAAGATCATTAACTATCATAATTGTTTTGTTTCATTTTTTTCTGTTCAAATTGATTGTACAGTAACTCATAACTTCATCAGTTTATCAAATAAATCCTTGAAAATGGAAAGATGTGTTAATTAGTCTGTTAATTAGGTATAACTATATTACATCTCTTCTCCCTATTGTCCTTCCTCAGATCCTATGTTAGAATTTCAAGGAATCGTCCACGATTCCCTCAGTGACTCCCTCAATTCCGATGAGGATGGCGCTAGGGACGATGATTTTGACCGCGATTCTCTTATGAGTTATCATGTCACAATGGAGAAGGACTCCCTCTCAAGTTTTTCGCACATCGCTAGTCGAGAATCTCTGAAAGGTTTCATATTCAGTTAGGATATTCAATATATATATATATTTGGCTTTTATTTCCCCTTTCTGTAAAACAAGGAATTTCAACTTTCACGTATATTCTTGTCGCTTCCCTCATTCTTTTTTCATACTTTGCTCTGATAAAAACATTTGCACGTTACGATAACAAGTACTAAAGAAATGTTTTAGTTTGTTTCTGCATAAAATTAAGAATTTCAAAAGTGAAATGAAGTCCAAATAAACAAGTTAAAAGATGTAAGTTAAGTTCCTTGTTTTACAAACCTCTTCAGGGTGTTTCAGGTTTTTTTGTTTGTTTTTTTACCCCTTTTGGGTTTTCTTACAAAGTATATTTATAATTTCTTTCAAAATAATATCTCATTTATTTTCTGCAGATCATTTATTGGATAAATGATTTTGAAACTTATGTTAACATAATCCTACACATATGGTTTGCTTTCAAATTGATAACAATTTGAATAAAGTTCCCCCTCCATTCTATATTGTTGTCAGCTCTATAATATAATTCATCTACTTATTTCAAATTAATATCCCCATCCAAAATCAAAATTCTAATTTTTATACTTATTTTGAGTCTTATTACAAATTTTAATAATACACAAATTGGCTTTGATTTAAACTTTCCGCACCTTACTACAGTTTTTATACTTCATTATTTCAGATTAGCATTCCTTGTTACAAATTTCTACTCTACTTGTTAAACTATATTCTTTATTAAATTTTCCCCCACTTACTTCAACCTATCATCATCTGACTATAATTGTTTTACCCCCACCCCCTTAATTCAGATTACCATGTCATGGGTTTTAAATTGGAAATATAAATTAAATCAGGTTGTGAACATCTAAGTGACTTAGTTCAACTGATCCTCCTAGATAATTCTACGTTTATTTGGCTTTGTAGCACATCGTGTGCCTGCAGTGAGTATTAGCCAAACAGATCTTGTTATCTCTGTAGATGGATCTGATAATGCATCGAATAAGGCCCTGGCACTTAGATTTTCATCCTTCATATCCTGTAGCATCGTATATATCATATTTTAAGTTTCTTTTTCAAGAACAACAAGCTCTAATCGTTAAAAATCGCAAAAGTAATATAATAATTAATAATTTGTCTATAATACACCAAAGATGAATAATATTACCAATAGACATTATTTATAATCTTTTATATAAATAATAAAATGTTGACATTAAAAGTATTCATTTTTATTTATATATATTACTGGTAATGGTTGTATATCATTTTCTGTAAATCATTTATGTCTTTGTACTGAAAGGGATTTTTATGTTTGGTATTGGATTCTCTCTTCGATGTATGAGGTTTTTCTGTAAGGTTCTAGTTATTGGTGTACATTTACTTTCTCATTACAGATTTCTTTTCATGATTTAGTTGTGTGTGTGATCATTTGCCATGGTTATTTTTACTATTATTACAATTAATTCAGTATTTTTTTTTATTATAGCCTATGTATTCCGGGGGTCATATTATCATTATCGTCCTCGCTATCATCATCATCACCATCATCGTCATTATCTTATCATCATCATTGTCATCATCATCATCATCATCATCATCATCATCATTTTCTTTACTTCTTGTTTTTCATCATCATTATCGTTGTCATCATATCATAATCATCATCATCATCATCTTCATTTCTTATTTTTCTTCATTTTCTTTACCAACACATCCTCATTGCTTCCAACACCACCATTCATATCATTACTATATTTTAAATCGTGAACATTATTGTCATCATCTTGTGGCTAATAATTCAAACAGAATTAAGTTAGAAAAATTGTAACATAATTTCAGCATGATATTTTAGTAGAGTATAAATTTTTGAATGTCAGCATTCAACCTTATTAAAGTTAACTTAACTCAAACGCCACTTGTAATCTGATGATCGCCGAAATCCAAAAATAATGACAGATTCTTCTACTTAAGGGCAAGAATTACGTCAACAATGAATTTAAACCATCATACAAACACAGTGCAATTAACAATGATTGATCAGCATGCATTCTTGTTTGTTCATTGTGATATGCTATAACTTATGCCATCAGTTCTCATCATGTCATTGGATGACTTAAAAAGTGACCACACATGAGTGGCAACATTGCGTTAAGTGTCACTGTCTCTTTTGAATGATTTATGTCTCTAAAAAAATTAAATAATTTTGAGATCTTACAGTAAGATTCAGCAGTGATGTTATATACAGTATATAGAATATCTGTATGTAATGGAAAAGAAATGCTGCTGTTACCGCTGTGGATGCACGGCGCAAGTGTAGTGGTTACTTGGCTCAGCTAAACTGGTGGTAGCCGCTGTGTGTGTGCTTAACTGTAGAGATCTATTGGTCCCTGGTTTAATTCCCATCGCTGCTCTTCTTGTGTTTCAGCTGGAGAGCTGAAATGCAAGTTTCGTAGCGCACTGTCTTTCGGATGACACGTTTAAGCCATTAGTCCTGTGTGCGATATGTATGGCCCATGTACACATTATAGAATGTAGTACAAGAGAAAACCACAAAAAACGAAAGGTCCACTGATTAATCTCAGATAAGATAGTATAATACATACTCCAAGAATCGAAATGCACGTCATCGTGTCGGGATTCAATATTTCGACAATAATTATGTCATCATCAGGAATAAAAAGAGAAAACTACTTTAAAGCATTTGGAGGTCTGTGCTTAATAATGCAATTATATCCTGTAACATCATGTAACACTTTATAACACTATTCATAAAACAATATCTGATGGTAAATTTTGTTGCAAGTCATTTAGTATCAATTATATTTTACATTATATACAATTATAGTTGGTGATGGTACATATATTGTTCAATAGAATGTGCTTTGGTACTATTAAACCTTTTTATTGCTTAAAATTCATTCTTCACATACAGTGCAAAATTATTATTTTTTTGTAAAATATTGATAGAGCTATATTTAGAATATTGTAAATATTGGAGAGTGATCGAACGTTATTTAAGTTAAAGGAAAGAGTATAGAATTCCTAGAGGTCTGACTGTTGGAGTTTCCTTGCAATGGAATCCCATCTCAAAAGGTACTACCACCACCAAGAGGGCGCCCTTCAAAAGAACATAAAAAGCATTTGTGTCAAACGCATCTATAGAACACATGTTTGAGTTTTCGAACTCTATTTGAATACTAATAGGGTGCCCCTTTTCTCACAGTAATACTTCGCTTTTCGTTTCAATGCATGCATGCAAAATAGGGATGGTCGGCCCTCTTTTAATTCTATACTCTTAGTAGAAGTCTCATAGTTTCACATAGTGAATGTTTAAAGTGTAAAAACTCTGAGATGTTAATTTCTAGATTACTTTACTAGAGAGGATCTTTATATTTTCAGCAGACATTATGGATGAATGACCAACATGTGGACTGCTAGAATATGATAGAGTGAAAACATTTAAATTTACAATTGCATTCTTCTTGTATTTACAGGCGTACCACCTCCATTAAATTTAATGCTTGAACGACAGTTTCCAACCAGCGTCATCATCTCCTGGTCACATCCAAACACCAGCCGTACATCTATGATCAGAGAGTATAAGATATATGTCAACGGGGTCCCGAAGACCACAGTTCAGGGTAAAGTGAAAACAATGCTGTTGGACAGTATAGATCAAGATATGACATATAGAATATCGGTGCGCACGTTAACGGCGGAAGGAATGTCAGATGAGGCGGCATGTACCATAATGATAGGCAAAGGTATGTAGAGCCTTAGCCAGACTATCAAACTTATTTGACAGAAAAGATGTATGCCTATATATAGTGATGATGTGCCTATATATGGTCATGATGTGATGTCATCATGACCATATTAAGCATTGAGTAATTAATTTTTTTAAGCAAGTTACATGTTTTTGTCAAATTAAATTCAGTAGTTGGATAGGACTTTGTTGGATAGTTTTATCTTTTGTTGGATAGACTTATCTTTCATATGTGAAAAGTACAATTTTCAGGCTTTCAATAATTATTCTGTTACATTAACCGTGAATTTTGTTTTTTCCAGCCAAAATTGTATTTTCCTTTATTATTATTGCTACTATGATTGTTATTGTTGCCATTATTATTGTTTTATATTATTGTTATTAGCATTTACATCTTGAGGGACCTTACTGTATCAATCACATATATCGAGAGCACTCATAAAGTTTACAGCTTTCTAAGGTTGGAAACATGATACTACTTGAAATGTGCATATAAAAAGAATTGAAATTATGAATTTAGATTAATTTTTTAAACTTACGCATTAAGTTCCCAGCAGATTAAATCACACTATGTAAAATTAAATATTAAATCATAATTACAAATTTATTAATCTCACAAAATGAAAATTCAATTATAATTGCTTATGCAATGAAAGATTCATATAAAAAAATGAAATTATGAATATAAATTTATGTTTGGAACTTGTTCCATCCAGTTCTAAGCAGGTTAAATAATACCATGTAAAATTAAGTTAAATCATTATTACAAAGGCATTACCTGATTCCCAGTAGGAATATGAAAATTCAATGATTATGTGGTTGTCCTTCTATAGAGACATTATCATCTCTCATCTGATTAATAAATGTCCCGCTTGTAATCTAAAAATTAATATCAAAATTATGTGAATAATTAATTTTGTCTTTGTATATCAACATATCCCACCAGATGAAAATTATCTTGCATTATGCTACAGTAAATTTGAAATGAAAAAAACTTATTATTCAGGGTAAGGGACTATTTTCCCCCCCCCCCTCTCTCCCACACAAAGATGGCCAGGATCAATACAGTTGCATAGCTAATTGTCTAAATGAATCTGAATTACAGGTCTCCCTCCAATTAAAGACCTCTTTGGGGACTGTGGTTCCCATGGTCTTTATCAGCTTTGGTCTCTAATTAAAATAATAAAGATAAGAAGTTTGTTGATTTGAGACCTCAGAAAAGTGGTCTATAATTAGAGGTAGTCTTTAATAGGAGGGATTTTTTATTAGAAGGAAACCTGTATATGGGTAATTATGTGGTTGTTTTGCTAATGAAAATAAACTAAATATACAAACCAATTCAAAATAGTTATTTGCCAACTTCTTTAGACAGAATATATTTACTATGCAAATGAATATGGTGTTTTAATGCTATAAGGTAGTTGTCTCGAGTGATATACATATAAGGTATCGAGTGATATATTTGCTATTTGGGCTGTGGGAATAATTAAGATTTATTATTTACAAAAGAGTAATATTCGATTACATTATAGTGCAATTTAATTTTAACTATGAAATTATAAGTGGCAACTTTATATACATTTTGATCAATTTTTTTTAAATTAATATACCATGACAATGAATGAATGTTTTACAAACTCGTTTTAAGTTTTTTTTTTTCATTTTTTTTTTCTTTTCTGAATTTTTGTTTTCATTCTTGCATTCTAAAAAATGTTGATAAATACATTTTGATGGTTGATTGATTGAACTAATGTTGAATGAATTAAATTTGTCCTTTACAGGAGCGTCAGCATCACCTACTCGGTTAAAAGCATCTCACGTAACTCCAGACTCAGCTGACATCACATGGTTGCCAGGTAACAGTAACCATAGCCACGTAATAAGTGTGAACGGTCGAGAGATGATAACTGTGAAACCAGGTCGGCATCAATATAGCTTCGCAGGTGTGTACATATGTTGTCCATGTGGTTATCCATTACAGACGATTTTGGTTATTGGTCTACAGTGGGAAAAAGAGTCATTTTTAGATAATTAATATTTTTAAATGCACCTAAAAAAACTTTAACTATAACTTTTAATCATTTGGAATAAAACAACCTAAAATTACTATGTAAGCCTATAATTTTGATATATGTTTTAATATACAATTGATGACCTTGACCTTTGACCATTTCACCCTTCTTAGACTAGTGCGTATTTCTCCACTAAATTTTATGATATCTATTAATTGGTTTTTGCAAAATCTTGCTGACAAAGAGACAAACGGTGATAAATATATAACTTTTGGGGTGCAAAATAATAATTAATTGTTACTAATGGATTTGTCTGTATAAAATTGAATTGCTTACTTTGTTAAAATATACAATATTTATATTAATGTTAAAACGTATGTTATATATAGAGTAATAATTATAGGATTTTTATAGCACATTAAAAACGCACTTCACTCTTCTGAAAAGAGAATAGGATTGTCTCATGGTGTACTGCCCAATTCACCACCAGAAGGACCCCACTGGAAATAAATCCCCGGACTCTTGTGGGACGATTCACAATACCCCAACCTTGGATCTCCAGTCCCTGAGTAGTATGCAAGTCACATAGTATAATTCAGCACTACCCAATTTTGAATCATTCACCTCCTAGTAGCTACCCTTTTATCTTTCTGGGTGAAAATTGAAGAAAGGCAAATGTAAAACACAAAAAGCAATCTGAACAGAATCGGTCTCGAACCAGTGACCATCCAGTTGAACGTTCAATTACTTTGCTATGCCCCAGGCATCCACATGCTAATGTATACAGATACAGAGAGACTATTAATTTTAGGCTTTCTATCTCAAAACAAAATTTTTATTTTTCAGTATTGCTTCATCCATGTACATCCTCATATTTCTTTTTTAATCAAAATTTATATAGTAAAGTTACTTAAACAAGCACACAAGATATTATCACTACAATATGTGATACTTTTGCAGAACAAATTTGTCACTTTCATCCAATCCTACACTGATGTTTGTAGATGAGAAATTTTTTTTTAATGTCTGATTGGTTTAAAAGCTTAATTTAATGTCCGTTATTGAACTAACTTTGACATTTATAAATAATCTTTGGTTTAGGATTATCGCCATCATCAGTATATCGTGTGAGAGTTACAGCGAAACCCAAGCACACGACTAACGACAATTTGAAAAAGCATTCAGCAGAGATAGAATTTAAAACTCTTCCAGGAGGTGAGTTTATCAGGTTTTTTAAAATACAAACCTGATTATTTGATGATCGCAAGAATGATATAAGATCATTTGATGATCACAAGAATAATATAGGGTTTTTTTGATGACAAGAATAGAAAGTGTCTATTAATGCTTGCAGTACACCATGTAGATATTTCTGAAAAGAACTGTTGTTGGTTGAGAATATCTTGATGTTTCGATTGAGTTGCTTCAATTTTCTTCAGGAGAATAGAGTGGGAATTACCTGATTGCAATGGGGATCATGAAAATGAGTAAGGGATTTTTTACCAATCATTAATGATCACTTGATAATCACAAAAAGTAGGATGTAATTATTTGATGATCATAAAAAGTGATTATTTGTAATGATCAACAAGACTGTCAAAATTATATTATTTGATAAAATATAATAGATAGGTTTGATCATCTGATGATCGTAAGAGAATATGAAATAATCATTTAATGATTGCAAGAACTTTAGAAAGTAATAATTAGATGATCACAAAAAAAAAGGAGCAATGGAGAATGCAAGACATTATGCAGATCTGAATACGTCAGTTGGAAATACATGTTAGAAAGTTGGTCAATATCTTCCCATAGGATTTCTTCCTATATTGGCTACTACCGGTAATATATTGAGTAAGCCATTATGTTGGCAGCACGAAATGGTTTTGGTTGGCTTAATAGTGTTCATCCTGCTGGGCTTTAGAAATGTTATCATCCTAAACTCTTGTACCCTATGATAATTTTTTTTAATGATGTCTGTATATTTTTGAATTAATACACTATATATGAATCTCTACATATCACATTATGGTATTGGATGTTGAATTTTAGGTTTGTGGTCATTGGACCAATTTTTTTCAGTCCTCGTTAAGCTGCAACAACTGTCATATCGGGATGTTTTTTTAACAATTATAAGATAACATAAGATAGCCTTTATAGTCCAATCTAACACTGGAAATTAGTTTTCTTTTTGACAATATAGAATACATAAATTAGATAGTGCAAACATTAATTGAGATGTATAGCACACTTGCTAGATGTTAAAGCATTTATTGTGCAGTACTGAAATAAAAAATTGGACAACCTTATAGTAAACATGATTGGTTCAAAGCCCATTTGCAGGAGCTATATTAAACAAAATTAAACATAAAACAGTAAAATATACATAAAATTTAATGATCTTTATGTGGCACTACAAATGTTAATTTCACAAGTATCTAAATAAGTATAGACACGTACAATTAATCTTAAGTCGAGAAAACAGCTCTAAATTACACATATCTCCATATAAGTGGATTAGTATTCATTTATTAACAGAGTGTTACTTCTATTAATTCTTTGTAGATTTAGTTGGGATTAATAGAAGCTGATATAAAATAGCATCTTCAACTGGAACTCTCATTAATAAACGGATGCTTTAGTAGTACAATACTTGTAAAAAAATTTGTGCCAAGTATTATATTAAAGTCTTTTAAAAGATTTAGTGCTTTATTAATGGATTAGTAAGGATTAGCCAGAAACAGAAGGATTAAACAGATGAAGAATTACTTAAGATCATAAATTTCTTTACTATGTTAGAAAGTTCCGCTGACATTTATTTGTCTTATTAACGTTGACATTTACATTTCTTGAGTGAATGTTGCTTGTACTCAGATCCGAAGTGACCTACATTGACCCCAAATCGGCATGCATACAAAACAGTGAAAACATGAACATTTCTAACCCGGGCCATTTGTTTAACGTGTGTAAGATATTTCTTTATTAAATGCATTTATTTAATGTACCCCATAGCAGTACCAACTTTCAGAATATAAGAGAGAATTATCATTTTATACATTTGTTTACGACCAGATCCATAGCGTACCGTCAAGATTCATTTCATTTTAGATTTTAATTCCAAGTCCCTTGAAAAAATATATTAGTTCATGTTTTGGCCAAGAGATTAATTTAAATATGCCAATCTTAAAAAGTGTCAATTCCTATAATTAAAATGTGATGCCAAATAAATAATTTTTTTCACTATGAACATGCAAGTCTATTAGTTTGTTTCACTGCATTTGTGTGACGCCTGTTGAAAATATGTCGTGTGAAGGTCGTTTTCGGATCTAAGGTTATCATATCTCATTTGTACTGATTTAATATTTATTTTAATTTTTGCTTATTTATGAATGTTATGGCTGTTTATACTTGCGTTATATTATTGTTTTGCTAAGATTTTAATTAAAACTCCAATATTTCTTACTCTCTACCTTCTTAAGACATGATGAAATCAGGTCAGTGTTATATAAAAACATATATATTACATAATCAAGTTGTTTTGCTGGAATAATCATTTAATGGATCATAACTTTTCATTTTTTTCTTTTTTTAATAACTTTTTCCATTATGCTTGTGCATATGTTTTTTGTCATTTTGTTAAAGTGCAATATTAGATTTTGTGGGTTTTTTTTTTTAATTTGCAAGATGATTTTAATGTTTTGTGTTATGAATTATTTATTCAACAATAGTTTCAGGGTGGCTTTGACAGCAAACTGCCAAGATTAGAAATTATAACTAAAATAATAACAAGATTGAACAGAAAAAAAATTTAACAGATAAAATATAGAAAAAAGCAACAACATCAAAATAAACCAGGCATTTATATTGTGTAAATTATTATCATATTTTTTTAGATTTTCAGTGTTTTATTTAATAATTGAAGCATATTGCATTGAGTAAGCATGCTTTGTTTTGGTTTGATTTCACTATTAGCTTTGCTCATAGAGGTTTTTGACTTTTTAAAAGGAGAGGTTTGCACTTTGTAACTGCTTGGAAAAGCACTAAAGCAGCCAGTAAAAGTAAAAAATAAGAAAACAATATTAATAGATTGATTAATAGAATAAAAATTTCCTTATATCCAAAATTCTAAAGTGCTTTAAAAAGCATATAAAATATAAATGCAGTGTATATTTTTTTTAAATTTAAATAGGATAACAGATTTTTTTTTTTAATGAAAGACACTTAAGACCTTTAGCTCTGAATTAGTGGTCAAACCTACTAACACCTGTATCCTGGGCTCATCTAAATCCACAATATTCCATAAGCCTTGTATTAAAAGTAATGTGCTGTTCATACTATAATTTCTGTGACAGTGAGTTTCCCATATATGAATATTATATGATGATGTCATATCATATTCATGTATGGACAAATCACAGCTGATGGTGTGGAAAGATCTTGCGAGTATCATTACATAGTTTAGATTCATTCAGCACAGCCTGATTTCCATAAAATTGCTACATTATCACTATGGTATTTTCACTACTTTGTTGTCCCTGACGCATTTGGGAAGTCTCCCAAGTCAACCAACCAATCAGCATCGCTGCTGGATCGGCATTTAAAAGCATAACACAGTGGCATTGTCAGACTATGGAGTCAAGCCAGATTACACTTGGTCCAGTTGTAAAAATTTGTAGTCTGAACCAGCCTGGGTTGACGCATGCCTGGCTTGAATCGCTCTCAACCCACACAAGGTACCTAGATTGACCATAAGTTTACCATAGGTTAACTTTTCAACTGTTTCAATGTAGCCTTTGGCCAAAAAGTGACCAATCACAGCCTACTGTTGACAGTTCTGTTGACTGAGTTAACAACTCTCTGGTTAGGTCGACCCAGGTCAACCTATGTATAGTGAGCAACCATTCACGCCAGGCATGAGACCCATACCAGGCATGAGTAATGCCTGGCTTGAGCTCTTGTCTGAATGTAGCCAGTTTCTGTTTTCCTGATCATTTATAATTAAATGTATTTTTCATATCCATATGAATATATTATCTTGATTGCTATTAATTATTTTTTGTCTATTTAATAGTAACAGCATTTGAAATACTGTTTATCTTTACTTCATTGCTGTTCATACATTTAAACTATCTATTGTTATTATGTATATGTTTTATGTATATATTAACAATACTGGAAGCATGATTTTTTCAACTTTTGTATTCGTTGTTTATTCTAACTAAATATTAAATTTTTGTTGATTACAAAGGAAAAGAATGTTTAACCTTAAAATAAATCTCATTGATAATATGGTAAAACTTACTTAAACCAGTTGTATGGTGGTACTGCCCTGTACACTTCTACTCCTTTTAATTTTTAGTCATTTATATTTTCCCCCATTTCAGGACTTCCTGAGCCCCCATTAGATGTACAGATAAAGCCAGGGAGTCTACCTGGAACCCTTGAAGTTGAATGGTTACCAGTTACCATAACAACATCCGGTCTTTCAAATGGTGCTGTTGTCATGGGATATGCAGTATTTGCAAATGAGTACAAGGTTGCATCGACCCCCTCACCGACAGGTTTGGAGTTTTTTAGTTGTTATTATTGGTTACTTGGGGACCACTCCTGTAGTTAGGTCATCAACTCATTTTTATGCAAATCTTTTTCAAGAGTAGAGACAATCAAAAACACTAATAGATCTATTGCTGTACATATTATGATTGCCTCAATCAAAATAAACATCCACCTTTTCTTTTATCATACATCTAAATATAGACACCATAACAGCAAATTTTATATCCATTAGCATAAAGATATTAACATAAACTGTTAATTAACTCCACTTACACAAAAATTGAAATGCCACAGCCACTGACAACCTTTAATAAATTATGCAAATAATGTCCAGACTGAAAAATTGTTTGCAATGGCGTCATATTCAGCTGGAAATTCATAGGGGAAAATAGCTTGAAATCCTCAGGTGTAGCTAAACAAAATCCTGCCAATCTTAATTAGTTGCCAATCAAAATTCATGGGATAGCCTTCACTGTGAATATATTTGTCTTGGAAAAACTACAATGTATAACAAACCATTCAGTTGAGCTAAGCCTTAAATTCTCTGTTGTCTGTCTTCAATCAGTCAGTTTCTTTCTGTGAAATTTTTTGCTTTCAGTTGATCGTTTGGTACTGCACATCGACAAGTTACGAGCTTTAGGAGCCACTCACTTAGTCGTTAGGACGCTGTCTCCAAATGGTTTCTCAGCGGACTCATCCAAGGTGCGACTCCCTCAACATCTACTTCAAACCAGTACACCGCTAACTACGCAACAATCTGAAATTATACGGGTGAGTAAATATCCATTGTATAGTACATTTCAACTTTGATTTCTGTGGCATTCAATTTGGTTATTTAAACAAACTTTCTCCTCTCCTTCCATATTAGAATAATTGTAAAAGTAATTCTACATGCTTTATTAAATTATTATTATATTTATTATTATATTTTATTATTTTTTGATATTCATGATTTTAATTTCATAATCATTCTCTTAATAATATTTAGTTCAACATCACTGTTTTAATCTACTGCATGTTTTCTTCCTTTTATGTATGTTTTTCTTTGCATGCGTTTTATCTGGACTTTAGTTTCTTTATTCCCCATCTGTTCGAGTAAGTAGGTATCGGAAACGATACCAGCCTCACCACTTCTGGTGCAAATACAGAGGCAATGTAAGTTCACACTACTTGGTCTTTTGGAAGCTAATGTATTTTGTTTTTGGAATAGATGTATGATGAATCTGAAATATTTGAGTGATAAATTGGTGTACCTAAAGCCGCAATCGCACTGGAATTTTTTCGGTAAAGGTAACCAAGTCGCAGGTTAGTTTTACCATAATTAGTCCAGTGCAAACAGCCCAGGAAAACACCTTTTAGGAAAACTTACTGAGACAAGCAGTTAGTTTAACCGAGTGGATTGCTCCAGTAAAACTCACCAGTTTAGTTTTACTGAGCCGAAAAATCCAATGTGAACATGCGTCTCTGTTAAACTTTCCGAGTCTTTCAAGCATTACTCAATGGATGATGTCACGGATTAGCACGTTAATTTTCTTTGGTTAGTTTTACCATTTCACGCTGTCAATCTAACCGACTTAAAAAATGGAATTGCGGACAGTGATAAGATTTACCCATTGGAATTTCACCCATGGACTCAGTAAAATCTTTCTTTTTTTTTATGTCGAGTGCAATTGCGGCTTAAAGCAAGCTTGTGTTTGAATTTACTAACACCATGAATTGAAGTGTATGGTAGCTAACACTCAAATCCTGGGTTCCAATCTTTGGAATTACACTTTTTATTCTCACTGCTTTTATAACTCTACTTAATTTTTATGATGGCAAACATGGTTGCCATGTTATGTCTGTCAAGTGTGTGATGTCTTGTAAATATTTAAGACATGCAAATAAATAATAAAGAGCAAGAATCAAAGACATTGATAGCTTAGGTATATATTGCCACAATGATGTTTTGCACTTCGTAGTTGTGATGGCTGTACCCATGTTAATGGCACTTAGTTAACATCAGGAAGCACCTGATCCCAGAATCAATCAAGACTTAACTGATGCTAACTGAAGACACATATCCCAATTGTCAGTGATGGTGTAACCCCATACTTTGTATGGTAGCTAACACTCAAATCCTGGGTTCCAATCTTTTAAAAATTACACTTTTTATTCTCACTGCTTTTATAACTCTACTTAATTTTTATGATGGCAAACATGGTTGCCATGGTGTGTCTGTCAAGTGTGTGATGTCTTGTAAATATTTAAGACATGCAAATAAATAGTAAAGAGCAAGAATCAAAGACATTGATAGCTTAGGTATATATTGCCACAATGATGTTTTGCACTTTGTAGTTGTAATGGCTGTACCCATGTTAATGGCACTTAGTTAACATCAGGAAGCACCTGATCCCAGAAACTTAACTGATGCTAACCGAAGACACAGATCCCAGTTGTTGGTGATGGTGTAACCCCATACTTTGGTTTGGTTTCTATCTTGGTGTATTTTTAGGGATTGTTTTTTCTTGTTTATTTATTTTATATTTATTTTTTCGTTGTCTTCTTACCTTTTGCCAAGCGCATAGAGATTTTGTTTATTTGTGCAATATAAATCCATCTATTATTATTATTATTATTATTATTAGTTGTTCATATCAAGTTTTTCACCTTGTAATATGTACAGTATAGCCTTGTATACATTAATTATAGAAAAAAAGTTTAGATTTGACCAAAACGTTTATATTGTTTAGTAGCAGCTGTGTTTTATGATGAAGTTTTAATCCAAAGAATAATCAGCCTGTTAGCTGAAAAATACGAATTGCGATTGTTTTGTGTTAATGTGTTGTATGCTGTGTAAGAAAACTTTTAATGTTGTATTTTATTAATTGCTTCCAACAATGCTTATTGCTTGTGAAAATTGATCAAGTTGTAAGCTACATTTATTGAGCATTGTAACCACAATTTTCTTTTTACAATTACCTGGGTATTTTATTGGCAATAAAACATCGTGAATGTCCAAAGATAATCTTTGACTGCCCACGGCTAATTTGTAGATGCGGAAAATATGGCAGGTAGAGAAATCTGTTTATCATCAAAGTGGATATTAGGAGTACAAATATGACAATAATAATTTACAGTGTATCCCAGCTGAGGTGATTTTCACAGAAATGTAGACAAAATGTATCAGCCATACCATTTTTTATGGGTTTACAATTAAAATAGATATGTAAACAGTAAAACAACCAAATTTTAACTATGCATCCCAGTGTAAAATATATTAATAGTAATTATTATAACAAAAAATAATATTAATACTATTGAATAGTAATAATAATTTATTTAATAATATGTTTCAAATATTTTTGTGTGATGTCACCCACATGGACTATGGTGGATGTCTAAAATATAAATATATGTTTGTTTTTCTTTTATTTACAGTATTTGATTAAACTAAGTATGCAAATTAGGAGCAACCAGTAATACAATGAAAGGGTATAATATAACGATTAATGGCCTTTGCTATCAAATAACCTAAAATCTACAGTATAAAAGAATAGACAAGGTACCAGCATCTTCATTAATCTACAAATCAGTTTATTTTGTCAAATTCCAAGCTTCATTTAACCATCAACTGGTTTGAATGGTTAAAGATGTTCAGTAGTGAAAACAACTCATTTTAGTCTGAGGGCTGTGACTGGTCCAGTTTTTACATCCATTGACCATTTTACCCAATGTGTGCAGTTTTTACATTGGCTCCACAGCTGTTTGTACATCCAAATCTGTTGGTTTTACATCTCACTGGCTGTGTGCGGTCTTCACACTGACTTCAACTGCTGGTTTCTAATTGACGTGCTCAACTAACCATGTGTTTCTCACAACAGTTTTATTTGTTGGTTGCTTTGATTAATAGACATGTGCGTGCTTTTTTTATACTCACTCTGCGGTTATAGATATTTGTCCTTTTGTAATTCAATCATTGGTTCATAGGAGCTTAGCATTTTTCCTGTTTTTCCACAGTCCAAGTCTGGCTGATGTCAGGTTTTAGGTAAAGTCTGATTGCTCAGCCCATCGAATAATTCTCATATGAGAGTTGGGCAGGATGAGTGCCAATGTATTCATTACATGTCGGTACTGGTGCCACACTATGGCCATCACAGGTCCCTAGGGGCCTAGCCTAAATTTCTAATTCTAATTTTACAAATGAAATAAAAAATTTAAATAAAAAAAATAATGTTAATAAATAAGCCTATGGTAATTGTGGATTACATAATTTGATTTATACAATGTTATTCCATTTGTTAATAGTCGATTGATTGATTGATTGATCATTGTCTTAACATGTTTATTTGATTTGCTTTTCCAGCTAAGCTTTCAGCTGTCACTTCTGCAAATTATATCAAACAACCAACAGTCAATAATAAGTATCTTTTGTGTTTTCTGTTCTATGCAGGCAAGAAGCAATATGTACGAGAATGCTTCCGATGATGACAGTCAAAGTTCACGAACTACTTCCGAAGACAGTCATCCTGAGGTGTTCGCTAAAAATGGTGCTGTAAAAATGGTGAACACTCCACAAACATCAAATGATGTCAAAAAAGTAAGTGGCTACCATCATGTTAGGTGACTGAACTCATTTGTTCTCAAAAACTATTTTCAATCTGTATGATTGGAACTTGATATGAATTTAATGTTTAATGGTTTTCCATATTTCATCACAGATAGCATATCTTTATTTTATATCGTTGTATCCATAGAAATCAGACTTAGAGTACCAATCAGAGAGTGACCGTTCTGAGTTGTCAGACATTGCTGAAGAAGCTGAAGAAGAATTGTCAGACTTCGAAAGCGGCGATTTACCCGGACTCTCGGACAGTATAGAAAAAAGCTGGCAGGATGAACAATTTAAGAACGTCAAAGAGACATTAGAACACAATGCAAAATTAGAATCTGAATTTGACGAAACAGATCCTGAAGTTGAACAACTTAATAAACCGAATCACGCAGTGCCTATCCAGATTATACGACAACAGCGGGATTATGAACGCGAATCTGACCTTTCGCCCCACAACCAGGTGTTAGAACCGGTGCCAGTGAAACCAAAGCAAACGGATTTACAAATTTCTGTGCCACAAATCGGTAAGTTTATCTGCTTTTATATTGAGGAAACTGTTTACTATGTCTTTATGCTGAAGCTGGCTTTTATTGCAATCAGCGCTACCTCACGTGTGCCCTGTTCGCGTTTGAGGGTGGGGTTGCTTTCTTTTTCATGAGACCTGGTCCTTACTAATAAAATTATTGTCTAATGAGACTAAATCTGCGGCAGAATTTCAGGCTGTAACCTTTATAAATAGAAATAGAAGACTAACCATGGGAGTGTAAACCAACATGGTTTAAAGCTTCTTTTCTTTTCTTTTTTTTTGTGAAAACAAAGGGTACTACCTATTTTGTGGGTTTTGTGTAATGCATAAACTGTTCAATAATACTTGTTTGGGCTAATTGTCTATTTTTTTTCGGGCAAATCTTGAAGAATGCAATATAAGTATTATTACTGTTCTAATTTCTATGTTTATATATTCATGTATATAAATGTTATACATATTATAATTATATTATGCATTCTGCACTAAGATATTTAGTACATAATGGCTCTCTCTTAGATTTAATGCTAACCATTTCTAGTATGTTAAACTAAGTATATAGATAAATTATAAAGTTTGGTTTGTTCTTAAAGTGTTACTCTTCTATTCAATATATATTCTTTTGCATGATAACTGTACACTGCATCTTTAGAAAGCACCAGAGAATTCTCAGCACCATTCGGTTCTAAAGGAAGTTTCTTGTTCTTCTATATTTTCTAATATTTTTTCTTCCCTGGTCTCTATTCCTTATGCTAGAAATAACCAAAGACTGCGCAAGTGATGTTGTAACCTCTTCCATGTCAGAGCAATATTCAGACCACGAATTTGATCACCCACGCAATGGCGCTGCTGCCGCGAATCCAAGCATGCGGGAGAAAGCCCAGACGCGCAAACAATCCCTGGACTCGGGCAGCGAGTGGGAAGACTCGAGAAAAGACTACGATTCTAAAAACATTAACAGGCAATCCTTGGAAAAGAGTCAGAAATCTTCACAAGATACGTACTCCACAGATCCGGAGGAACTCTACGATGATTCAACGGTGCGGACGTTTGTAGCGTTGTACGACTACGACCCAGAATCCATGTCACCGAATGATGATGGGGTAGATGAAGAGCTAGCCTTCCATGAAGGTGATTTAATTAAGGTGAGGATTGAAGCTGCTATTGTGTATATGTGGCATGTTCCCACAAATGCCTGGACAAGTTGATATTTTTAATGGGAATCAATAAATATGTTTGAAAATGAAATTTCAGCTGCATTGCGTTAATCTATCATCAGTCAACATAATCAAAAAGGTCGAAAGTAGGAATTAAGGAAGCAGTAAAAACAGAAGTGGGGTTTGGGGTGGAGGGAATTAGAGTAAAAATTTATTTTCATTTAGTATAGCCTCAAATGAGACTGCATCGTCTTGTTTATTTTTCCTCTGTAAATGGTGAAATACTATTGGATTAAACAGCATCTATGGAATACCTTGTAAAAAAAAATTTAAAATAATCTTTTTCAATTCTTGGTATTTAGATATATGGAGACAAAGATGCAGATGGATTTTACATTGGTGAACTGAATGGAAAACGTGGGTTTGTCCCATACAACATGGTGCAAGAGACGCAAACCAACAGTGAAGAACCGCACACAAAACCACCACGTAACCAAAGCAGTGAACCAACCACTGGCGAGCTAATCAGAACAGATACCAATAGTACTCCACAGGAGTACCAGAGCCCAGTGAATGGCCATCAGTCATCATCATCGCAGAAAGAGGTTGAAAGATGTATGCTTATGAGGGCGATCTTTGATTATGATCCAAGTGTCTCGTCACCTAATCCAGATATTGAAAACGAACTATCATTCCAACAGGGTGAACTAATAACTGTTTATGGAGATATGGATGAGGACGGTTTTTTCATGGTAATACTAATTGTGGTTTAGTGGTTACAGTCCTTGCCTTCCAAATTAAGAAGCTTGGGTTCAATTCTCCTTCGAATTCATTTAAGTTATAAATCAATTTTTTTTTTTTGAATTTTACTTTAAATAAATATTATTTTAAAACAATATATATGATTAGTAGTAGAATACAATTTACAGTACCTGCACTTTGTTTTTTTTTTTAAAGCCTATTGCAAGAAGTCGAAAAGGTTTTCAGGTCTTTGGTCACTAAATTCATAGTCAAACTGCACATTGTCCAACCTTCTTCACTGCCATTTGAGGCATTTGGTTCATTTTGGAAAAATCTGCATACATAACAAAGAATGACGTACATAAGATAGACAGATGATAATATCTATTATTTTTGGTTTTATTAGGGTGAGGCGAATGGTGAACGAGGCTTGGTCCCTTCCAACTTCCTTGAAGAAGCCTCTGACCCTGGCCTGAATGGATCTGCTGGCAGTCCAGCGCCCTCTACTGGTGGGTACTCACTCAACTCCTTCGACAGGTCACCTACAGTAAGTTGTCATTTCATTTTTAGGAGTAAAATTCAACTTTAAAAATAATGTTTTTAAAAGATAATAATGGTATTTTTCTGACTTATTTTAAAAATTTTAGCATAGTTTTGATTTTATATATTGTTATATTTTTATTGAGTAGCAAAAATTAAGGAATATATTTAGGAATTGTGTCTTAAAGATAATTTTATTATCATCATCTTTATCATTCATTCATCACCATCATTATCATTATTTCGACAGCGTTTTTGCATCAGGAGAAATAATACGAATCAATTTTTGCTCTACCTGACATGTTATAGTACTGAATGCTCAGTATGTTCCTAAAGGCTTGCGAGAAAAAAAAGCTAGCATTTGGGAATGAACTATAACACGCCATGTAGGGCAAACATTGATACGTATCATTATTTTTGTTTTATGATTTAATGTAAATTGCATAGAGGCACTGTGCTTGTGCTATATATTAAATGTAAATTATTATTATTATTTGCCTAATATTATTATTGTTATGATTATTATTATTATTTATTTACTTACTTATGCCAGGACAAGCTTTTGTCGCGAGCAAAATTATAATTTGTCTAATAGTATTATTGCTGTTATTGTTATGAATATTATTAATATTATTATTTATTATTGTTATTATTATTTTAACAATTTTCTATACACATAAGTTTAATTTACTGTACTTGGTTAAACTCACCTTACTCCTCTGCCAGCTTGAAACGGCTCTCCTGCATCAGGTTGCTGCGGTGTTTGGTCTCTGATTGGTGAAGGTATTGATTCCATATCACATGATCTTTGGGTTTTCTTCGTGGAATCAATCATGTATTAATTCAGCATGTGATATGCGTTTAAATAAGGCATGCTGTAACATGTTATAAATAATTAGAATTAAACAATCTTGTTAGAATGTAGAATCCTGGTGAAATGGTCTCAAAATAAAACCACACTATCTATATTATTATGAAGTCTGTGTAAGTTACAGGGAGAGAGGGGCTGTGTACATGTTTATTTGATCTGCTGCAAATTTTGAAAGTTTCCAAACTCCATAAAGTTAGATTTTAACTTAAAGATATACCATATATTCTCACCTATAAGCCATTGGCATATAAGATGACCCCAATTGTTTCGGACTAATTTTTTTATGTTGGGCGTATAAGACAACCCTCACTGTCCAAGTTCCTACGTTCGCTGCTCTTTATAGTCTTGATACTGTATCTAGCTGGCTAAATACAGATCTAAATCTCAAATGTTCTTCAAAAGGTTATTTCTCCACTTTAAAAATTGCATTCATTCTTGCTAAAAGTAGCTTCGCTTCAGTAGCAAATTTGCGCGTCATCGACGATCCGCGCATGAGACGAACATGATTTGAATACATAATTTGTAAGTGTTCGCGTATATAAGACGACCCCTGTTTTTTATCGTAATTTGCTTTTGAAAGCCTCGCCTTATATGTGGGAATATACGGTACTGCCTAGGTTGAGGTAATCAACTGAAAGTTAATTATCTTTATGTTTCACTTTAAGATTAGAGTGAGAAATAATTTCCTTTTCAATTAACTGATGTCCTATCTACTTTACATAGCCCAGCCCACACTATCAAATCTTATGTGACAAAAACACTGATTTGCTTATAATATGGAATGATACTGTATAACATTATCGTGCCCATATATGGACAAATCACTGGTAGTAGTCACATGATATTTTATAATGTGAACAATGCATTAGTTTATTCAGTAATACTTGCACTATTGAATGTGAATCGTGCATGGAACACATTTTTATAATACAATAATCTGGGAGTAAACAATGGTAAGCTAACAGCATGAAAATGACCATACTGTACAAACATTCATATAGCATGTGCAAGTATATGAATGCTGGTATCACCACCAGCTGTATACAGCTTTAATGACAATAAAAACATTTTCCGTATATACTTGCATGTGCTTGAGCATAAATAATTGCGCTTAAATTTATTCATCTATTTTTTATTACTTAATACTTAATTTCCAAGAATTCACTTATATTCACTATAGTATTTTTTATATTTTTTTTTATGTGTATTTAAGATATCCTGTAATTGGCTTTACTGTTGCTGTTAGATGATGTTTGAAATAAAATGAAATAAAAATTTAAAAGAAGAATTTTAAAAAGAGCTAATTCTAGGGTTTCTTAACAATTATGATTGAGATTTTGATACATTTTCAAATTGATTTTGTTTCTTCATAATTTGTAATATATTTCTTTTTTGTGATTGGTCAGTTTTTATTTGAATATTCATGAGGAGTATTATTCATGTTGACCAATCATTTATGAGCATGTATGGTCATCTGCATTTGAATGTTGATCATGTGTATTTCATGTGAATGCTTGTCTTATTTTTCCTTTATCCTATTTTGATTTTTCTTGTCAACCCTCCCAGCTTCCATCATCCAATCAAGGGTAAGCTTATACCACCCTCACTGCTGTTTAGTGTTTTGTATAATTTTGGGTAATATTTCACAAGTAATACACCCATAGTTCAATGAACATTTAAATTCTTTAAATTGAATGTTTCACCAAGATTTGGGTGCATGTACAGACAACTTGTGAGATTGTCCCAAAACAGTCTCATTCAGACATTCCCCCCCCCCCCAATCCTTGTTGCTATTACCTTGAATGTAGTCTACATATAACTCTCACCCCACATGGCTTGCTGTGCTACATTTTGTAATGCTAGTTGTCATCTTGAGACTTGAACGTAATCTCATTGGCTATCCCACAATACCTTACATTGCATGTGTTCAATTTCTTACCATAACATTGCTTTTGTCCACTACCTTCCATAAGTTAACCCACACCAAATATTTTCTGTCACTATAATCCATTTTAAGTGTGCACTTTGCCATTTTTTAACTTGTTGATTTTTAAATTTAGTTTAAATATAGAATCATTAAACTAAATGAATTAGTTTAATAGCAAACTTTTATGAAGTACAGTACATATTTTTGGAACCTGTATCCATTCTCATTTGACATGCCTGAAAAATTGTAGTGTTCAACAAAAAAATACAAATAAAAAAGGATTAAAACTAATACTCCTCAAATAACTGTAGATAGCACTAAGAAGATTATATGCCCTTTGTGCAGCTTTCCAGGCACTGCTGGGTGGCTCTCACTCATCTTACCACCAAAAAGTTTTTCCAATCATAGTTGCTGGTAGCCCAACCAATACTGTTAAACATCATATTTTGGATGATATCCATTGTGGCTGCCCTTAAGAAGTGTTGAAATTTATATCGATAGAATTTTGTCAATAGGTTTAACATTTTAAGTGATGCTTTAATGTATTGTTATAATTTTATAATATTGCTGATGTGTGCATTTTATGTATACTGTAATTTGAAAATATAACACTACATAATACGATTCTAAGCTAAAGTTAATTTTAATCACAAATGATTATAAACCATTTGAAGCTAATGTAATTTTAAAAGTGGACTTAACCTCATACTCGAGGTTATGTAGTTAACCATTTGAATTTGATGTGATTGTAAAGTGTTAACTTGTGATAATGCAGTAACTAATAATATAGTTATGATAATTTTTTGATACTTTTCTACTGAATTTCCTTTGATCAGCAAGTATGTGTAATATCTATTCTTTATGATTAGTTTAGTAATGAAATTTAGGGTTTTTTGCCATCATGAGAAACATTTTTAGAATCTTATGAATCACCTTTTATTAAAATATTTCATGTAGTTAGATTGTTTTAGAACTTTTCTTCCGGAGCAATTTAAACTACTGTAGTACACTTAGGTAGAGTTATACTTTGTAGAGCTTTGAATTTAACGAATCAGATTTGTCAATGTAGTGTAAATTGACAGCTGTTCATGTTCATTGATGGTATTGTTTTAATTATTTAGTGAACAATTTGATTAAATCTGATTGTGGTGCTTTTTCTAACATCAGTGTAGACAGCAATCTGTAGGCTACAACATGTCCTTAAAACTATCACATTTTCTTTGACAAAAAACTGTTTTATGCCCATGTATGGATCATGATGTGATGTCATCATGACCATATTTGGGCATGTCACATTTGTCAAATACAATTTGATGGCCTGGACAGGGCTTTATTGACAAAATGCTGTCTGCTCATGCAACACTTGTTTTGTCCATTTTAACAACCAATGGTCACGTCTGATGCACTGAAGCATAGCCAATCAGAGGAAGTGAAACTTCAGGATTTTTTTTTTTTTTTATTAATGATGGCTTACAATATCGCATGAATACTTAACAGTGCCACTGCCTCTTGTTGATTTGTATGGCTCCCAAACTTGTTAAAAAAAAACAACATATTTCTATAATTTCACTGGTAGCACCATTTTAAGAAAAACTTATGGAAATTTGGTGCAGCTGCTTTTATTAATGGTAGATTGGATAAACAAACTGGTTTTTTTTGTTTTGTTATACTGCTCTTAACAATTAATATTACTAAAGTAGTTATTTTAGTATATCTGAAATAAAGTAAAGATTCTATTTTAAATATTGTGTTAATAAATCATGATGAAGGTATTAATTATTATGGATGTTATTTTTCTTTAGACTAAGGACTCGCAGCAAGACTTGGGCAGGCAGTCGTCCATCGGCAGCACAGTATCAAAACAGAGCAATGGATTTGACCAGGTAAGCCAGACCAGTATGGATGACCCAAAGAAAAAGAAAGGATTACTATCCAAAGGTAAAGCATTGTTCAAGAAGTTTGGTGGCGGAGATTCTGGGAATAAGAAAAAGAAGTGAAGAGAAGCGTGCTTAAAGCTGAGATCAGATGTAAGAATAGAAAGCTGTTCCACAAAAGTTCGAGTTTTAGACACTGAATGGTCAATGAAGAAAGATGGAAGTATAACTGAGTCGTTGGAAAATGACATCGTCAAATGGGTGGGCGGGCTAGACAACTGGTTTGTTTAGGAATAGACTCGAAAGCTGGACTATCGGAGGCAGAATCCCTACTGGTTGATGACATAACATCTTCTTTTGCCAGCAGTGGAGCAAATTAACCATCATAAAACATTTGTATTTTTATAGTGATCATAAACTCTATGAATAGAGTTAGAGGAATCAGTGTAGAAGATTTGTTTTCAAGCTTGAATAACGATAAATTGAAGATGAAAACATCAATGTAAGAATTATATTCACTTTCAAATCAGTCTTGCAATATAATTGCTCAAATGGAAATGCATGATTCTAATAACAATGGCTTCTTTATTGCCCATTGGAATGCCTCAAATAATATGCTATAGACATTTTTTTAATATCAACAAAACCACTCATGTACGGTAATCATTCACAACTATGATAGTGTAGAGGGCAGCATTTGTTTAGTCTTAGATGAGGTTTATAAATGGCAGTACAGTATTCAATTTTAATGATAAAATTAAACAATCATGTGGTTTTTACTTTAAAATTTGAAAATAGAATAAGATATTAAAGCAATATTTACTCAACATCTGGAATATGTATTGACTTATTCAACATTTACAGATTTTACATTTTTACTCTATCAAATCAATTTATAGAAATTTAATAGAGTTAAACTATTAATTGTAAATTACTGAATGATATTAAACATTACAAATCTTTTGAATACAGGCTTTTAGAAATAGGCCTACATAGCGAAACTGGAAAGCTGTACAAGTGTGGTAGTTTGCCACAAGTATTAAATATTATTGATAATAATTTATGAAATATTAAAGCAGACATTAATTTATGATTGAGAGAGAAAATATACAGAATGTGTACCTAATAATCAATGCATCATGTTCCAGAAGGCGCTGCTGCAGGGGTCTCAAGTCAGAAGAAGACAATTCTAGGTGATCTGGTTAAATGCACTTTCTTTTAACACATCTAAATCTATTTCTGTAGATGGTGATACTCATTGATAATAAAATAGTAAAAACATGCAAATATTATAAATTTGTAGAAGATGTATTGTTTTCCTAGAGGGGAAGACCGTTTCTGTAAAGGCAGGCTCAGGTCGCCACGGAACTCAACTCAACTCAACTCAACTCAACTCGTCAACATGAGCGCTCCGCGCAACTGAAAGGAACAAGACCGGAACTGAACGCAACTGAAAGGAACTGACAGTCGCGCATATTTGTCGACATGAGTCAAGTTGAGTTGAGTTGAGTTGAGTTCCTTTCAGTTGCCCATGTTCAACTTTTTGTGTAACTGAAAGGAACTCAAAAAAGCGCGAAAAAAATGCTGATTCGGAACTCAAAGGAACTGACAACGTTGATCCTGATATTAATCGTAATCAAGATGCATTAACTGAAAAAAGATATTATATTACAATGTTTTGTTAATGGCAGATTACTTTATTCTTTGTTTTAAAAAATATA